TTGGCTGGAAGAATCACTCTAGCAAAATCTACCCTTACTACTCTAGCAAACTATTCTATGCAAACAGCAAAGTTGCCTCGTACTATTTGTGATGAGATCGATAAAAAGGCAAGAAGGTTTGTATGGGGTGGGAATGAAGAGAAAAGCAAAATTCACCTTTTATCTTGGGAGACCCTTCAACTCCCTAAAAATAAAGGGGGAATTGGCATTCGTTCAGCTAGGCAACCTAATTCTGCCTTCTTGACCAAGCTTGGATGGAGAGTGTTAAAAGAGCCAACTTCTCTTTGGTCTAGGGTGCTTCGATCGAAGTATTGTAAGGGGAGGTGTGACATCGATATGTTTATTCCCACTAATAACATGTCTAATGTTTGGCGTGGAATTACGGAGAATGCAACTTGGATCAAGAAAGGATCGAGTGTGGCAATTGGGAATGGTGGAGCTACTCTCTTCTGGGACCATTGCTGGGCCACTTCAACTCCTTTGCGTGAAGCTTGCACTGCTGCTATACCTGCTGCCATAGAGGGAGCTACAGTAGGTGAGTTATGGGATAAAGGGGTGGGCTGGAAATGGGATTGCTTTGCTCATCTTCTGCCAGAATATGAATTGAAGTGTATAGCCTCCCATAGCCTAGCTGAAGACCCTGATGCTTGTGATGTGCATTATTGGAGAGGTCCAAAATCGGGCGGCTTCTCAACAAAATATGTGTATCAAATAATGCAAGACCATGACAATGTTCCTACTAACCCCAAATGGGGATTAGCTTGGAAAGCACCAGTTTCACAAAGAATCTGCACCTTCCTCTGGTTATGTCTCCATGACCGTGTGCTTTGTAATGCTAACAAGCACAAAAGACACTTGATAGAAGACCCTTCTTGTCTCCGCTGCTCAATCCATACAGATGAAATCCTTCTCCATCTTTTAAGGGACTGTCCAATTGCAAGAAAAATCTGGCAAAATGTAGGGGGTGCTGCTTTCTATCCCTCCTTTTTCTCTGGTGACCTCAATGCTTGGTTGGTGCGCAACCTGGAAGCAGATGGGCTGATTTTTTCTGAGAAATGGCCAACAGCCTTTGCAACTACCTTATGGTGGCTATGGAGATGGAGGAGCAATGCAATGTTTGGTGGTGGTGAAGCTATTCCTGCAGACACAGGTTCCTTTTTAAAATGCAAGGTTGAAGAAACTTGGAGGGTACTGTCAGAAACGAGCATCAACATTCATCAAGTTTCTGCTGCTCGAAGTCAGAAAAGAGAAATTTTGATTAAATGGTTAGCTCCTCCATCTGATCGGTTTGCTTTGAACACAGATGGGGCTGCCAAGGGTGCTCCTGGCTTAGCTGGAGGAGGTGGAGTGCTGCGTGATTGCACAGGCAGGTATGTTAAGAGTTTTGCAGCCAATTTTGGGATATGCTCTGCCTACAAAGCAGAGCTGCTAGCTGCTGAATTGGGATTGAAAATGGCAAGGTCCCTGGGAATTTCCAAGCTAGTTCTACAGATGGATAACTACACTTGTGTTGAAGCATTGCAGGAACAAGCACTCTTCGAGGGTGAATGTGTTCACATTTTGAAAAACTGTCGTAGATTAATTATTTCGCTTGGTTGTAATTTTCAGATTTTATTTTGTTTTAGAGAAGGTAATAGGGTGGCGGATGGGCTTGCTAATCTGGGTGTTCGTCTTGAAGGTGTGGTTTATTTCGATTCGCCTCCGATCGAAATAAACGCTCTTCTAAGGGAGGATATCATAGGAGTGGCCTTGCCACGGTTTGTTATGTAATCTCTTTTTAGTTTATAATAAGGGCTTGGCCCACTTTTGCATCAAAAAAAAAAAAAACTTTAGCCCTTTTCATACGAATTGTTAGCTATCTGTTCAAAAACAATTATCATATAGTTTTTTGAAATAATAACATGTAATATGTAATACTTTAGTAACTAGTCGTTGGTGCACGCGCTACGCGCGTGCCCCCTCGACGGTTAGATGAGTAATATTCGCGAATCTGTATGGTCCATTTAGTATTCGTTATTATGTTGCGGGTCTGTAATAAAATAGTAGAGACTATTATAGTGTAAAACCGTTTATTATAAGTAATTTCATTTGTGATTTATAGACTTATTTAGTATATGATCTGATTTACTTTGTGGGTTGATTGAACTACTTTTCAGTTAATCAAAAGTAGTATAGATGATTAATTTCTAATTATGTAAATTTGCAACTAATGCAACATCAATAGTGTAGAATTTTATTAAATCAACATACATGATAGTAGAAATTATCAAAATTCCACAAATCTCAAATTTATTTAATCACGTATACTACTTCAAAAGTAACTTACAGAATTAGATTAACGAAAGAAATTCATTTATTAATGATTTTAAATAACTAAATCAAGAATCATTATTAAGCTGCAGATAAACATCAAATATAATAACACTCCCCTGCTTAAGCTTTAGCACAGCGCCTTCATTAATTTGCACTTCATAATAATCAATCAATTTATCAACACCTTTTCTGATAAAACATTTCACAATTAACCTTCAGCTCAGCCTCAAAATTTGTATTGTAAAGGCGCAGAAGAACCTTAGTCGTGTCTGTAAGGTTTTGAAAATGCTTTCGGGCAAAATCTACCGGGACATTCTGCATAAAAAAAAAAAAAAGGAAATCAAAAAAGAAAACACTAAAAAAAAGTCAAAAAAATATAATAGACATGTAACTAAACCGTTACAGCCTTGAATTGGTTCTCTAAATTTTACTAATATCATGGCTATCTTTATTGCTAATATCGTCATCTTTAATAAGAATAGTTGTGTTCTAGATTCAAGTGTATTAGAGGGAATTTATAATAGTTGAATCTGTGATGTGAATGATTTGTCTAAGTAGTACTCATTTGATAGTATGACTTGTTAGGGAATCAAATATCTGTGTTTATGCATTAGCAAGAGTCTTGTATTTTAGCAAGTGTGAATTATTAAGCCTTGACTGCTATTATTAGTCCAGATTTGACCTTACAATGCAATCTGTATGGAGCAACCTCATGGGTATATCTGAAAATAGGAAAAGATGCCTGCATCTATCAAGATATTTTGTTGAATCTTAATGCCATTGCACTTTTACAATGATTTTGTTGAATCTTATTGCCACTGCACTTTTACAATGATTAAGAATCTTTAGTTCGATATAGTTTTAGCTTACTTGATGTATACAAAAGTTCACATGAGCACAGTTGTTGTGGAGTCTATAGCTATTTTATAATGTGATATTGTACATCAGTTTCTATATATAGTGGCCTATATTTATTGTAGAGTATAGTATGCATGGTTGTAGATATAGTTGCAGTTTAGATAATGGTATGTGTATTAGCCTAATTTATTGTAAAGTATAGTATGCATGGTTGTAAAGTTACTTAATAGTATGCAATTTGTTCACTTAATGCAGCAGGTATAATCTAATCCTAAGTACATTTATTTTGGCAGGCTGATGAAAATTCTGTGATGAAATGGGTAATCAGGATTGAGGAAAAGCATCAGTCTTCTGCTGTATGTGATGTTCATTGTTGTTTACTTTACTAAGCTGTTTTATTTAAATTTCTAAAATGTTTCTTCGTTAACTGCCTTTGTATTTATGTTCAAGAAATCCCTCCAAATTTCTACCACATCTTAGCAAATCAATGTGGAGAATTCAAGATTTTTCGGGGTGCTGAAGGACTTTCATGGAATGTCACCATTAAGAAATCTTGTAATGTGAGTGGTATTAGGCGTTTATATATTAAAGAAGGGTGGAGGAAATTTATATCAGATAATGATATTGTGGTTGGAGATACATTAGTAATGTATTTCAAAGGTAATGGCATATTTCATATGCGAATATTTGCCTTTCATGGTGAAGAAAAGACCAATCTCAATGGCATAATACTAAGGGGTGCTAACTTAGATAGGAGACCTGCATTAACTAACTTAGAACTTGATGCTCATCTATCTGTAATGCAGCAGAAGTGTTCTGCACCTGCTTTCAGGCATATATTTCGGTCACCTTATATCAACGAAGGAACTCTTGTATGTTTGACTTTCTTGCTAGATAAATTGTATCATAATTCTTTACTTTTCTTTCTTTTTTGTTTCCTTTTCATTGTCATGAATGATTGTTTTTGTGAAAAGTCTTACAAAATGCTATTTTGTGCAGGTTATTCCTTCATTATTTGCTAGAACTTATTTAAATGAGATGAAACCGTGTACTGTTGTGTTGATTCGACATAGGCTTAAACAATGGTGTGCTGAGCTTCACATTGCTCGAGAAAGGAATGTAATAACTGCTTGCTCGCTTAGAAACGGTATTAATCTGTTTTATGAAGATCAGTCCATTATTGTAGGCTTTGGTGCTGTAGTAGTCTATCGACGAGGCTATCCTGTCTTATTTGAGTTCCTACTTGGACCAATGTAGGTGCCTCAGGATAACTGTTTGTTTAGTTTCATGTTGTAGTATTTAAGTAGTAGGTGTGTAAGGGTTTGTTTTTTTAAGGACCGATGGTGAGTGTAACTATAGTTCAGGCTGTTTGTTTAGGATATGCAGCAAAATCTTGGTTATGCTGTGGAATTCTATTTTGTATTCAGGTTTTGCTGTAGTTTGACAGTGTCTAAATGATACTAAGCGTGTGGTTGAAAACTGGAATAATAACTTGGTTCTTCGTTTAAAGAATTCTGTGTGAGGAAATGTGTGAAGTTAGTATCTGAATTTAAACTGCATACTTATGAGCAACAAAGCATAACCTGTTTTTAAACATTACCAAGGGGTGTAGGGAAGAGTGCCGGTTTATGTATGTTTATTGGTTTTTGTTTACATCTAACTGGAAATGTATGTTCTAGTTCAGGATTCTACAGCATATATTACATCTAATTGTTGGTGCCCTGTTGAAAAATGTGTATAATAATACAGATAAGTAAGAGTTATGCAGCTGGTAATCAAATGATGCTGATGAATTTGTTAGCCAGTTTCATACTTTGCTTTAAATAGTGCTCTGTTGAGAAATATCTGGTGCAAGTGCGGATAATATTTATCGATACATAAATGTATTTCTCAGGTTTGGAATATAAATGTCAGATACTGAGTTTTATTGGTTTTTTTATCTAAGTGAAGAAGGAAATTGTAAAGAATAAGTTGCATAGTCAAGTAAGTAAGAAATCAGGAAAATTAAATAACTTTTTCTTATATTATAAATAGATATCATAATTTAAGGATATTAATATATACAATACTGCCATATTATAATGTTCAAGCTGATACCATAAACATCCACACTACAGCTGATACATACTGACTTAAAGTAGTATTCCCAAAAGCTTACACTTATTTCATAACATGTCTTACTACATTACTGCATTACTATATACATAAATGATGTTTATAGGGAACACAAGGTGAGCAAAATGTTCCTTCTAAACACCCAAAAGAAGCTGACTCCTTGTCTAACTTTGATACTTAAGAACTACAACTTAATGGCAAAAGCTGCTGCATTTCCATGAACTATAATTTGCTTTCATTATGCATCATTGAGGTTGGAGGTAGCAGAATCCTTGTTCTCGGCAATATCTTTTCCAGCATTGTCCTTGAAAAGAGCTGTACGGAGTTTCTTCCTAGGAACATGGTCTTCATCTTCCGTTTCCATGTCCACATCTTCACTGATTGTTTTTTGATTCTTCGCATTGCTTCGTGGGCGAGAAAGTTTGGCCCAGGTAGGTAGCTCAGCAGCTGGTTCTGGTGATTCTGAAATGACAATGCCCTTGCTTGGTGGCTGATCTGGAATATCAAAACAATCTGTATCAAATGCTTGTGAAGTCATTCTGATCTCCTGAAATTGCATTGCTTCAGCAAAAGCTTCATCAAATGTTGTTGCACTGTTTGAGTTGAAATCAGCATTGAAATCTGGTTCAGACACAATAGGTGCTTTTCCATGGGCCTTAGCTGTGGGCGCATAAGATGAAGCATAATGCTGCTCTGTGTTGGTAGTGCAAGTCATAGGCACCAATGAAGCTGGGATCTGAGTACTTGGTTCATCATCCCCTACATCAATACTTTTTAGAGTCCAAAGCAATACGTTATTCATGGCTAACTCCTATGTAGGAGTTACTTGGACGAAGAATGGCTTAGTGGAAAGCATTTTCTGCACCACTGTAAAAGCTTCCAAATTTCCCTGCAGTGTTGAAAATGTCACATTGGATAGGCAGTGTATTAAAGGATTTATAATGTAAATGTTATTCAGATCGGATCCATGAAATAACATATAAACTTCAATAGTAAAGCAAATATTTAAAAAGAAAAACATAGAAGGGAAAACTGAAGTAGGAGAAGTTATGTGTATAGTGTAGGCTACTACTGCGGTTTAAATTACACGGGATGCATTTAATCGAAGATCTTAAATTTAAAAGGGTGTGTCATCAAGGTTGATTCTTACAGTGCTTTTAATATTCCAAATGTCATTTGCTTTTTTTCGGAAAAGCCTTTCTGTGTCATCATTAAATGCTGTAAACGACATTGTGCCACTTTCATCAGCAGCGTCGAACTTGAAAGTCACTCTGTACAAATATGCATTTTAAGAGTTAAATTTGGCAGATAATCTTATTATACTAATAAGAGTATATGTATAAATCCTACAAAAGCACCTGTAACCAGCAGTAGTTTCTCCTTTTTTGCAAGAGATGCAAGGAAAGGTAGTTCCCACAGGAAAGTGTGTTTGCTTTCCACAACCTAGACAGCCAATGTATGCATTAACTTTGTGTAGGTCAGGGTCTGGTATAGTGACTCTAAGCCATGCTACTTCATCTGGGACCGCGTTTGATGCCTGCATTAATTCAGCCATACATGTTTTAGAAAGATTTATATGAAAGCATATGCATGAGCAGGAAGTTGTTTTCAGTGCTAGGTATTGAATAGAAGCACAAACCTTTTTGCTCCTCAGTTCAGCTATAGTCACAATTTTTTTCTCAACACTTGGGTACCTAACATTCAAGATCCTTTCCTGTCTGTCCAGCAAGACATGATGATATAATTTGACCCTGCAGTTCAATATATAATCGGTTAAGTTCATGACATGAGCTAATGATCTATTTGCTGTTAACAGAAAACATGTAGTTATTACCATTCGCGAAGCATGTCTGCTCTCTCTCCTTTAGGATTCATAATTATTCTAGTTGACATAGTAGTGTTTAAACCAAATCCTGCATTAAAGTACAATAATTATTTCATCCAAGCTTTTTTTAGTCAAAGTACAATTGTTCAAGCACATGTACTAATGTTACCTCTTGTGTGGCGGGTTTTCAGTGCAGTAAAGCCAACAACATGAAACTTCTCAGTCCAGTTACTCAGTGCATCACAGGGTTTACCCGTGAGATCATTCCATGCTGAAATTGTCATGGCATGGTCTTGGCTGATACATCATTGAATATATGTTGTTAGCTATTACAATTAAGCAGTGCATGCAAGCAAAAATATATGTAACAAAGATTTGATGCTATATGGTTACCTTGTGTCAGTAACAGAGATTTCACGAACTGGACTGTCACGCCCACGAATATTAGATATCATTCGCGGTGCATCTTCAACAAACAAAACGACAGCGACAATATCTATTTAAGAAGGGAATTTCAAAAAAAGTTAGATGATATCAAGAGAATATTAACTAACTTTAGACAGAAAAGTGTTTGTGAATAAGTACCAAATCTGCCGTTGGGATCAGGCGATCTTGGAAGAGTTGACAGTGGGCTGATATTTAGGCTCAATCGGACCAGCTTCTGGATTCAAACGCTGAATGATAGTTTGTTGTCCAATAGTCATCTGATATGGAAGTTCTTCAAGGTTAATCTTATATTGCTCATCCATATAAGTTATAGGAGCCTTTGAAATTTCATATTGGCCAGTTGGTTTTAGAACATCTTCATATGCATGTATCTGATCTCCAAAAAGAGCACATCTCATCTTGTTTTTCTGTTTATACATATACCATCAAAGTTAACGTAAAATTTAAAATCTGTCTTTTTAAAGCAATGGAAACCAAACTTTTGTGAGTATGTTAGTAAAATCTAAGCAAAGGTGTACCTATAAATGCAGATGGGCTAACAACAATGCCTAAAAAGTTTAAATATAAAGGGTAAAGCACCTCTATTTGGTTTTCCAAAGCTTGACAAAGAATCTTAGAAGGTAAATCACAAAGCCAAATTCATCAATATAATTCTTTAGATCTACAAAGTCTATTCTAGGTGAATTTATGTGTTGGTAATCCAGAAATTAGCAATAGTAAAATTAGCTTTAAGCTGAAAATAAATGTATGAAAAGGTACAGGTAAAGCAGATTTACCCTCTCATCTTCTAAAATGATTGTCTGAAATATGACTCCAGGTTTTTTGGGTGACGGTTGAGGCCTTCCTTTTTCAGCCACAGTTACCTTAACCTTGTAGTCTTTACTTTGAGTGGTAAGTTCATCTAAGTAAACAGGTTCGAGCTTCATTTTCGTAGGTGTATTCATCTTCTGTACAGAATTGTTGAAACAAGGCAAAGAATCAGCATCAATATAGTTAGTTAATGCAGAACCAAGTTACACCATGCAAAAATAATAAGTATATCCATGCAAGGTATACTACAATGTAGGATAGCTAATCATATAGCAGATCTAAATTTGCTTAAATCAAGATTTAAATGTGGCCTAACATACAAGTGCAGGGAAGAAATATTAAAAAGGCAAACATAGAAACATTTGTTGTTAGCAAAACGACAGAAATAATTAGATCTCTTCCATTAAACTCTAATGTAGAAATAGCAAGCACAAATTCAAAAATAAATGATGGCAAACACATATATATACAATAAATATAAAGCTTTAATAACAACAACAAATATTATTATAACAAAATATTGAAATAAATCTAGGAAAATGTGTGGAAAATAGAGTTAAGTCTTTTAAAAAATGTAAGTTATATGTTTCTAAAATGGAAAAAAATTGTCATGTAAAATAAATGTAGTTGATGTTTTAATCATGAAAAATAGATAATAGTCAATGAAGATATAATAGTATCTAATAATCAAATTAGAAAGTGAACATTTTTCTCTAGTAACTGTCAACTAACAATTCTGTGATAGACAAATAGTTTAAATGAACTGAAAAAAGGGAGAATATACCTTGAAAGAGAATGGAATAATAGAGAATTAAGGAATGAAGTGAAGAATAAAGATGAAGGTGATTGGGTATTTATAGCTAGATTCTAGGCAGCAAAGAAGACCTAATTTTTTTTCACCTGGGCACTGTACCAAGCAGTAAGGTACTGTTCTTCACCCTTTTTTTCGTATGTAGAAGGTTGTATGTGGGTAAAGATGCTGAAAAGGTAATAGTATTTTATGCATTAATCTCAAATTACTTTTTACTTAAACAATAAGCAAGTAAAATTATATTTTTTGTGGCCATAATTGATGTTAAAGTACAGCATCTTAGCTGTCAAAGATTATGTGAATAAAGTACATTTGACTTGTACTTGCATTTTTTTCCCTCTAAAGGAAAGTGAACTAACTTATCATATGTTATTACATCTTGAAATCTAAATAGTAGCACTTTTAATGTGGGCTACATTTTACATGGCCCATTATATAAATCCAAAAGAAACATAACCCAAATATTTAGACATAAAAATAAACCACAAACCTCTAATGTTGATCAGTAAAAATTATTCATCAGTTATATATAAATCGGTTTTTAAAAGTAACTCGGTAAAAGCGTCATTTTTGAAACACAAAAAAAAGATAATCGTTAAATAAGAAACGGAATCTAGATATTCTATAAAGATCTACCCTATATACATTAATTAGTATACTAATTATTAAGGCCATCTACATTTTTCCTAATTTAGGAATCTAAAATATAATATATGATGAAGGAAAGGTTACTATAAACGGTATTCTTTTTTATCACTCACCAAATAAATGCATATTGATCTTGAATGAGTAAAATCTCTCCTCAGCTTCATCTCCCTTATCCGGGATCAAAGTTTCAATTTTATCATCAATCTTATCAGATGCATCATCATCTACATCATTATGCTGAACCTTCTCTTAATCCCCACCAGAAACAGATTGCATTCCACCAGTAGACTCATGCTGCTTGGATTCAGCAGCTTCAGCATTAATCTCTTCTGATGCAGGTGTTTCTGCTTCATTTGCGAGAGCCTTTTTGTCAGAATTATCAACAATCTGCAAAGGCAAACCTAATAAGGCATATAGTAATGTCATTAATAGCTAGTTCAACATGATTATACTAATAATAAAAAAATGCTCACCTCAGAAGAATTTGCATGATTATCACTGGCCAATGTCGCGTTTTCACCAGCAGGTGCTTCTACTTCCTTAACTTCCGCTTTCATCTCTATTCCGGCTATTCCAGGGTCCTCCCTAACAGCAACTCCAGATTTCACGGGTTCTATACTAACAGTATCCTCATCAACAACCAAGCATCCTTCATCTGTAACCTTTGCCTCATCAGTTTTCATGGATTTAGAATCCGTTTTAGCAGGTTCTTCTCTTACAGAATCTTCCTTTGTTGAAGCAGGTTCTTCAACAACAGTAATACATCAATGAAAACTGATTCATTAGCTAGGCTAGATAATGGCTGCAAATCATATGTAAACAAAGCACATAAGGAGGGCTGAGGGTCTACCTAAACCTGTGGTTTTGCATAATCGACCATACTTGTATCTTACTTCTTTAATTCCGAAAAATTGGCTTCTAAAATTATTGTTCCTCAGGTGATGTTAGTGGCATCATCATCTTCCTTTATGCACGATCATTGACAAGAAAAAAAGCATGTGAAGGATTCTAAGATGATGAAAACAGCTGCAGTTCGTTCCATAACACTTTGATAATCAGACTATCACTGGTGCTGCATCAAAACAATAATAAAAGCATTTTATAGCTAACTTCAAAAGGCTAGTGGAGTAAAATTAGACACTAATAACAAATGCGATTCATTGCATACAGGTTGTTACCCCTAATATCATTATATGTAAGAATAGGTAACACACCATAAACCTATTGTGATGCAATTTTAACACAAGTAGGCCTTCAGTCTTCATAAAAACACACTGTAAGGTAATGCTGTAAATGCACTAAGTGACTGCACAATATAAGGTTCTTTCCTCATACTTGAAATCAGCATTCTAATTTTAAGGGGTGACAAACTCATTTACTAAAAACTCACACGAAGAACACAATTCCAAAAATGGGAAGCAAACTTCCAACCCCTACAATCTTAAATTAGTATTTCCTGAATAAACTATAGGAAAGATCCCAAAAGTAATAAAGCACAACAAAAAAAAAAAAAAAAGCAAAAAAAAAAAAAAAAAAAAAAAAAACAACTATCAGCACACATTGTGATACACTAAGTGCATATATATCTGTGATCGATGTAATAAATAAAGAAACGCATACGAATGTGTAAAATGGTGACAGTCGAAGAATTCTGCAATATAAGAAATGAAACCTAAGTAAGTAATTCAGCAATACTCAGAAGTAATATATTATAATCTATTAAAATAATATCAAACCTGCACTTGAAAGATTGGCTTCCTTTGCTTTCTGTCCTGCAGCAATAACAATCTTGATATTAAGTTTAATACATATATAAAGTCATTTATCAGCTTTCATTATTTGCACTTTAAGAAAACGTAAACAGAAATAGGTATAAGCAATAATTACATGTCGATGCATGTACAAAGCTATATATTAGCTGCAATTATTTGCAGTATAAGAAACGAAAAATCTAAAATAGCTAAAGTGGTCAATTACCATATCATATATATAGACTCCAATATCGAGTAAGCCAGCACCTCTTAAGGATCAGCTCTTCCTAGTCCAATTTTATGAACCATGTAAATACAATAAAACAACAAGAGTCAAGATAAAGGTAAACATGGCGACTGCTGCAATTCAAAAGTTCGATTCCTTCTTAAAAATAGAAAACAGAGAAGATCAGCGAAACAACACCATTTGAAAAAAAATATATACAGCTTAATTTCAAGATACCTGTGTAGATGTAATAACCACAACTAATATACATTTGCCTTAGCCCGCAGCATATCAACAAATTCTGAGCACTACTCTGTATCATTTTCAAGAATACCTGCTAAGTGTAAGAGTTCAAAAGACACAACATTGTTAACAGCAGATGAAGAACTCTTCTCTGTAGGTCTTTTCGTAAAAACGCAGACATCTTTTGCTTTCTTAGCTCGGGATAGTGCTACATAAAGCTGTCCATGTGAAAAGCATGGACGCGGAAGATAAATTGATACTTGACTTAGAGTCTGTCCTTGGGACTTATTAATTGTCATTGCAAAGCTTAACTTGATAGGAAATTGTTTTCTTTCAAACTGAAATGGATAGCTGGCACCAGTAGAAGGTCTTAAATTGACTCTGTGTATGAATACATCTTCTCCTTTGTAGTGGCCAACTGCTATAACACACTGAATCACATTTGGGTAGAATTTTTTGCAGATTAGTCTCGTGCCATTGCATAAACCCTCAGAAGGAAGCAAATTTCTCAGCAGTATAACAGGGCAATTTTCCTTTAATATCAGCTCATGAGGACTCATTCCACCTGGGCATAGTTTGTTAATGAATTCCGTTGGATAGATATTACATGTATCATTTAAAATGGCATCAAAGCTTTTGTATCTAACAGCTTGACCTGGGAATTGTTCAATCATAGATGTATTAATAGAATCCACATCATCATTCATAGGTGTTAAAATTGCTTTTTCAGTAAACACTCGACTATCGATCTGTCCCTGAGCAACTTCTGGGAATGTTTGGCCTATAACAGTAGAGACTAATTCTGATAGATTGCTGGCGGAATGGACAATTTCTTGTGGTAATTCAACGATTGCATTTTCTGTCTGTTGTAATTTCCCATTTCCCAACTCTAGCAAAAAAGCAGAATAGACAGGATCTTCTCTTGCTCTTATATTTTCGGTCAGTCTAAATTTGATAAATTTAGGCCACAAATAAGAAGTAACAATACTTGCCTCAACTGCTTCCTTCATAGTTTTCTGAGGGACCACTGGTAAAACCTGCCTAAAATCACCTCCGAAGACAACAACCTTGCCTCCAAATGTAAGCTTATTCCCACATATATCCTGTAACAGCAGATCCAAAGACTCAAGATTTTGTTTCTTAGCCATTGAAGCTTCATCCCATATAATAAGCGCAGTTTCTTTTAGTAGTGCTGCTAAACTGCCTTGTTTTGGAACATCGCATGCTAAAGAAGCTTCACTATCAATCGGTATTTTAAATCTTGAATGAGCAGGTCTACCTGAAGGAATGTTTGCTGCAGCAATTCCTAATGTTGCTGTAGGTAAAACAATCTTGTTCATTAATCGTATTTCTGCATACAAAGCATTGTACAGAAAGGTCTTTCTTGTGCCTCCTGGACCATCAATAAAAAAGGTTCCACCCTTCTGTTTTATAACATGATCCATAATACATAGAAAAGCAGCATTCTGTGCAGAGTTCAACCTAGAGCGGCAACTTAAGCATTCTTCTGGGATAGGAGCATCAAGGGCATCTAGAATGTCCTTTGTCCGTCTGAACTCATCGTTAACTTGGGAGTTTAGATAATCTAGACCAAAAAAAGCAAGTGATTTTTCCATGGCTTCAAGGTGCTGTTCTATAGCCCTTACAATAAGCTGCTGCACTTTTTGAAGCTGTTGTGGAAATTTATGAGAGAAGTCTTCACCAAGAAAAGGATTATTCTTTTCCCATAAAGCAGCAGGATCGCTCGGTTGACAAAATATAAGGACTGTTGCAAATAATCGGCGCAAGGCAACAGGCATATGAGTCTCACAAGCTTCAGACAGAGTTAACTAAGCTGCATCATCATCTTCTATAATTCCAAGCTTTATATCAGCTTCTTGAAAAGTAGGATAAAGATGGTCATTGACAGTTCGTAAATCCTCAAATGACTTAGAGCTTCTTACATGCAGCAATAAAAGTCTTAGGAAAAACCGTTCACCCTCTGCAGGATATACAAATGCTAATCTCCCAATTGATAGCCTATTTTGAACCCTTTGTTTCCATTTCTTAGTACTCTGCTCCCATGTGTAATGCTCACAAAATTCACCGTATAAGTATCCCAGCCCAGCTTCAGAGGCAGAATTCATAGCAAAAAATTCAGTCAATTGAGTTCTTGATCGTTTAGAATTCGAAACAACAACTTGTAACCTTTCATGAGGATGAACACAAACGGTCTGCATATTTGGTAAATGAACCTGCAAAGGTAAAACCGGAGGGTGCATCTCAAATAAATCAAAACTAAAGATTCTCCATGCCGCTTCACAAGGAGATACCCATCGACCTGATTGATACTGTGTAATCTCATCCACAACTTCATTATTAGAGGACACTACATTATAAGAAATTCTATCATGACCCTTATATACATACTTATATAGGTACTTTACTGCTTTAGTTGTCGAACACACCTCAACATTTATATGACAATCAAATAATGAAGACAGATAAGGGTTATATGGAATGACCCACTGATTATCTAGCTCTGCATTTCTTATAACTACTTTTTCTCCAGTTTCTCTCCTCCGATAAATAGGATAGCCATCTTTACTATTAGTAGTTTCATTGCAAAACTTTTTCGGATACTTATTCTTGCAACTTAATTTTAGACCACGTGAGCGCATACATGCACATTCTGGGTTAAGTATGCTACAAGGGCCATGCATCATATGTGCCAAGACAATTCGCCTAAGGTGGCTATTAGTTTCAGAAGGTATTTCAGCACAAACAAACTTATCATAATCAGCAGGACATTTCAGCTTATATTCAGGTTTTAGAATAATCAAAAAATGAGCGTGTGGCAAACCTCTTTTCTGAAACTCAACTACATACACCATTGCAGCAACTTCTCCAAAAACCTTCCTTTCCATGATTTCTTTCTTCAGTGCAATCAATTTTGCTCTAAAAATTCTAGCAACCAAATCAGGTTTGTCCTGTGCCTTTTCACCAGTAGCTAGCTCGTCCTTGATCTCTGGCCAGTTAGCATTACACGTAATTGTTACAAACAAATCTGGCTTGCTGAATCTCTACACTAATGCCATGGCATTTAAATACCGCTTCTTCATATCCCGAGGACCCCCAATATAAGTTGGGGGTAATATCACCCTTCGGCCAACATTAGAAGCAATAGTTTCTCCACTATCCAATGAATCCAAAATACCTTTATACAGATCAGCTCTAATTGTTTCCTGATTGTTACGAAAATAATCTAACCTTGTGTTTTCAATCTTTACATACATGTCGACTATATACTGCTGGAAACATCTCCCTGCTCGCAATAACATGTTATTAGGCCGAATCTGCAACTTGTAGGCATAATATTCCCTAGGAGAAATAAACTTGTCTGCTCTTGTGTTCTTTCTCCTTGCACCTGCATAGAAAAAAACCCATGAACTATGTCAGTTTAAAAACAAGTTATAGTGTATGTCTGGCATAGAATGCATAAACGAAAGATTTGAACTATGTACGTGATTCTTCTTGACTGAGCAAATCCTCAGCATCGTGAACAGCACAAGACATAATGGGATCTGGAACTAAATCTGCTGCTCGTGTACTTGGATGAGATTTTTTTTTTTTTAAGACCCTGAGTCCAGCCACATTCTCCTCGGGGAAATAATAACGGATATTGAAGCGGATCGTAACAGCCATAATTATGATAGATTCGGTGAGTCTGATCAGATTTTCCAGTCACCATAATATGAGGACTTGAACTTTGGCTTGATGAAGCATTCTCTGGCCAGATAACAGCTACATCATCAACAAAAGGAGCATTATAGACACGCTGATCAAGCACAGGATTCTGATTCAGAATAATTTTCGTGTCCTCGGTAACAACGCGTTCTCTTAGAGACCGGAAAAACATAGCATATGGATTCTGCTGGGACACATGCATCAGAATCTGGATCACATCTTCTCTCACTTCTGGAAATGAACCCAATCTATTTTTAACCTCATGCTGTCCATCATAAAAATATAGCTGCAGATATTTAGGACACTTCTCTTCAGGTAATAAATCTGGGACAAAATGATACATCTGACCATGCATTTTGAATACATAAATTCCTCTTTTGCTCTTTGCATCAAAATGGCCTCCAAGAGAGCTGTATGCGAACAAATTGTTATACAATCTAGCATACTTTCGAAAATGAACAGCAATTTCATCTTTGGAAGTAAATAAGTAGATGAGCTCAGGAGGGTACTCATTTGTTGCTATCTCAATGTCTCCATCACCACAGCAAAAGTGGAGGGACTCAAACATAAATTTCTTTGCCCCACATTTAGAACAGTAAATAGGTGCAGAAAGTTTCAATGGATTTGTTGGAAACTCTCGATCTGTAGCAGCACCAAGAACATCTGCCAAAACTCACCAAAAGAACCACAATCATTACCAATCATAATATCCACTGCTTAAATGTATAGCACTTCGTAAATCTATTACTTTCTTTAAGACGGTTGGTAGAAGTATGTGATGAACAGGTAGCCATGCTCTCCTGCGTTGCACTGCACAAAAGGCTAATTCAGTAATATTAAAGGTAGTACTCTAGTCTTGCAAGTGTATTTCAAGCACCTAGGAATTCTAAACCAACAGCAAAACAACAATCAGAATGCCATGAACCTATATATTATGGAGAATGTAACAATATCACATCATCACACAACAGAAAATTTATAGTAAAAGCAAACTCAATGAATTTCACTTAGTACCCATTTCCTCGCGGGGTAGCTAGCGTCTGTATACATTTTCGTTTCTTTGTTGTTCGAATCTCACACAAACTCGCAGTCTGATACTGATTATCTGACTTGGATGGGCTACAATGTAAATCACACACAGTTATATACTTCCAAACAAGTAGTTCATTATATCAATGCAGATAAGGAGGGCAGCAATTTTTACCATGCAAATGCCGATTGAGATGTTCTTTGTGTAGCCTGGTTTAAGCGTCTACAACTATTGCGCGATAATTTTGGCAAGCCATTACGACAATCTAGCATTGAACACCTTAAGGTTATTCTTAATCTTAAAAGTTGCATTCTATAGATATATAAACCACAATACGGTAAACGCAATTTCAGTTTCTATAATACCCATGGTCACAGATCACAGATAGCCTGAAATGCTTGTTGTAGGTGGACTGGAACAAATTCCTAAAGCGTAAATCAGATATGTTGCAGCTGAAAATGCTGCCCAAAAAAGGAACGCTGTGGAAAAACTATCTCAAAAACAAACCAAACATTTTGATTCTTGTCTTGTTTAATAAAAGATAAATGATGCAATCTTAAACCCTTAAATTTAAGTACATTAAACAATACAACAACAAAACACTTATTTATAAGAGAATTATATAAATATCAAAACATCACATTCAAAGTGCTGAAAATACGAAATTCCTTACATCAACAGAGATGCCAAAACAACCAAAATACAAGCTACAATCTGATTCTAAGACAACAACTACTAATAAGCAAAAGGCGCATACTAATACTACTATTATAGCAAGGGACCCTAACAACTAAATACAAGTCCTTATATCCAACATCCAAAACAAGCATGCTCTATGGCACATAGCTAATCAACAATAGAACGCTTAAATACAGTCTCTAAATCTGGCAGACCGGTAACAAGGCGCTCTGAGGTCTCTACTTCCATAGCATTCTTAGAGCTTCCTTCCACAACAATTCTACGTTTAAGCGGACGACTCGGTGGAAGAGCAACAACCGGTATCTGTGATTCTTCAGCAGTTGGTGTCACACAGCAATCAACCCCTACACAATTAGCAGGATCAGATTGTTTAGAACCCCTTTCTAAACATTCAAGATGTCCTTTCAGGATCAGATACTTTTCCCGCATCAAAGAACATCCAGCACTCAGCTTTGATGCAGTCCCATAGTTTGCATCAACTATTTCCAAATGAAATTGAGAAGCAATGAAAAATGATGCTTTCTTCGCAACTCGTTGCTCAGCTATAGCCGCTTCAGCACAAGGATCACTAAAAATGCACTCCATGGCAATAACGGTATGAGGACAGCTTACCATAAGCCAAGAAATATAACCATGTCCCTGTACCATAGTAGTCTCTATAGCAGTTGCAGTGACACCAGTTTTCCTTACCAAAACACCCAGGAATTGTACAAAATCAACTAAAACATGGGTATCATGAAATGCTGCATTCTCCCCTGAAATGCATTCTGATCGTATGCGGTTAAGGGCCTCTCTCTCCTGGACTAATTCAGCGCATCTATTTTTATAGAGCTTTACACATAGACGATACATCTTAAGGCGTTCATGTGTGAAATCATCTACTCGAACATTAAACCGACCTATCAATCGTTTCACAGCCTTGTGAGCTGCTCGCTCATGAGACTCTTCTACCGAACTGGCATCTCCACCATAGAAAATAAACCTTGAACGTGTATTTGGACGGCCAACCCGAACAAAGGCATTGTTCTTAGTAGCATCTACGAATCCATAGGATGGAGGTGGAAACTGGAGCCAAGAAACAATCTTTTCCAACAGAGGCTGGAAAGGAACACAGACCTTGTTTGATCGTCTAGCCATAACCTGTAATGGCAAAATCCAGGACACAATTCAGACCAGAGAAACCGTGTTCCTTCCAAAAAAAACACCGGCATACCGTATCTACAAAGCCAACGAATTCTGGTACAAAACTCTAGGCACAGGGCAACCTAGTAACACAAAAGATATATCTCTACAGCCTAATGACTTTACTCTAATCAAGTTCGTACACAACCCAATGACTCTACTCTAATCAAGTTCATACACAACCCAAACAAAAACCTTGCAAACAACAGGACAAAACAAAGCAAACAATGGAACAGAGCTGAAATAAAGCAAAACAACTAATAACAAAACAAAGAATTCTAAAGCACATCATTAAAAAAACAAAGTACAAGGGATTACCTCAGAATACCCTGCACATTAAACAATACACAGTGGCTCCTAAGTACACCAAAGCACCAAACACATTGATCAAACCTGTAATCCCCAAAAAGGCACTACTTTAGACATATAAAATCAGCTATTAATAACAATTTCAAATAAACCACACCCTTCAAAGAGAATCTATTAACCAGTCTATATCCAAAGATCAGAAACTAATTCAACGGCACACACCAAATAAAATATCACACCGCGACAACAATCTAAGATATATATATATATATATATATATATATATATATATATATATATATATATATATATAATGTCAGAATTCGATCTGTCAAAAGACATCCAATTTGGCTAAAATAATTGCGGCACTATTCAAATTGATAGAAATGAAATATTAATTTCAATGAACAATCTAATACCAAATAAAACATTACACCGCGGCAATGTGAGAATTCAATTTGTCAAAAGACGTTCAATTTAGCTTAAATAATTGTGGCACAACTCAAATTGATAGAGATCAAATTAGAACTTTATTTTCGATGAACAATCTAATACCATCCAGAACCAAGTAAGAACACTTAAGCGAATACCTTGACAAACCAATCACAAGAGATCAGAAACTAACTCAATAGCACACACAAAATTAAACAGTACATAACGGCAAAAAAATAAAACTAAATATATATGTATAATCTTAGAATCCGATGTGTCAAGAAACGTCCAATTCGGCTGAAATAATCACGGCGCTATTCAAATTGATAAAGTATAAATTCTAATTTTACTTTCAATAAACAATCTAATACCAATTGACACCAAGTAACAACACCTAAGCAAATACCTTTACAAACCAATCTCAGAACACCATATCCAGAAATCCCAAAATGAATATATGAAAACCCCAGCAACCCCTATCTCTATTTAACCGACTATACCCACAAGGGTAAACCTAAACTAATCACTGTACGTCCTTTGCATTCTTCTTAGAAGTACAGTTGAGTAGTCCCCAAGGCTTTGTGCTACCTTAACACACAAATCTATTTCCTAACCACGCAATTAACAGACCTAGGTACATTCCTAACACACAAATCTATTTCCTAACCACGCAATTAACAGACCTAGGTACATTCCTAACACACAAATCAAAAACCAATCATGCAAGGCAATAAAGCAACCCAAACAAACAAATCCAAAATCAGGCCAGCTAATAAAAGCCATATCTACAAATCAAAGGCAACAGTGCAAAAAAAGGAATTGAAACCATACCACCCAATCTCACCCATAGCAGCAATCAAACCGAATTCCCTCATCAGCAACGGAAACACAAAACCAAACCAAACCCAAATCGACATCTCCTATAATGAAATACACGGAAACAACGCCTTAGCTAGCAGCCAAAACACAAGCCTTAGCTGGCAGCCAAAACACAACACCCGTACTCTCCTATACAGGTGGCAAAAAAAAAAAATATAATTTAATAGTAACTTAATTAAATCTCTCTCAATTCTTCACTTAATACAAGGAAAATATAATTTTTTTTTTTCCTTCAAATATGGTTTCTTGTTTTGTTTATGTTTTAAGGATAAATTGCTGGAAAAGTACCCTAGCTACCTAAGAGCTAATGGACTTATTACAGCAATAAGTGTCGGCTTCATATGTTTCTATCTAGCTTTATGCAACCGACTTAAGAATTGGAATTTATACTCCAACATTTAGTGGGGGAGCTAGCTTTTCAGTAATTAGATCTTAATTAATTTAATCTAATTGATTTTATTCTTAATCAATTGTAAATAAATTTATTAATCTAAATTATTAAAAAAAACATCAATGTACACTTTCATAATGACTTAAATATATAAAAACTAATCCATATTATTATATTGCGCATATATCGAACATGTATTGCATGTATATATTACGTGAATACATATTTTCCGCATATAAGTTTGTATACTTAAATTAATATATACTAGATGAACCCCATGCAATGCATATATATATATATATGTGTGTGTTAGGTTTTTTAAAAAAAATCATTTTAATGTGTGTAAAAAGTTGTTTAAACTTAGCTCCACCAGTTGCAACATTACTTGTCAGTAAGATTTTAGGTTAAAAATAAGTTTTATTTTAATATTAAAAAATATATTGAATATCTAATTGATTAATTTATATTTATTAAGGAATTAATTTGAATATGTGGTAGGGCAAAAAATACAATTGTTTTCTTGCATTCGTATTTACCCCACTTCGTTCTCGAAAAAACTCTTCACTTGAAAATGTACAACGAACATAAGTAATGAAACAAAATATATATAGATTTACTTATTGTTTTTAGTCAAATGAATAATTTATAATTTTCTCATTATATAAATTATGTATATATTTACGAATTATGATAATGTAATTGGAGCTATTATATTAATAGTTAAAGTTTACTTATAATATTAGGTAAAATGATATGAATAGAATATGAAAAATCGAGAGCTAAAGAAGTAGCAAACGATCAACCCAACCCATTGTGATATTCTCTTTAGATTATCCTGCTCCACTTGACTTGCTTGGCTGCTATTTGGACCATTCTACTATTAGATTTCGATTTGTTAGGTATTTCAGTTACCTTCATTATGTAGTACAATTGGGTTTAGTTTAGATCAGAGTTTATGCATGTGTTAACTATCATGACTCTTTTAGCTTACATCGAATTTATGTATCAATAGGGACGTAAGTTGTATGTTAGGTTTGAATCAGTAATATATATAATCGGTTTAATTTGTGTTTAAAAAAATTACAAAAATATTAATTGAAATTCTCTCTCAAATCTTCTTCATCTACATTTTAACTTAATTTATTGTTCATCATTTGTTCTTAACTTCTTGTAGTATGCCAAATAATTATACTCCAAAAATTTATAATGTTATAAGCGTCATATTAATTTATACATCAAAGTCAATAAACAATTTTACATTAATTAATTCTAATTTAAGTATTTAACATCCAATAACTCTATACAAAATCCTCCAAATTTAAACTTCACTTTAGCAACTTTATTAAAACATTTATTTATTTATTTAATTTTAACAAAACATTTAGCATTATTGATGTTACATTGGAATGGTGGTTACATCTTCATTTTCATTTTAAAGGTCACATGTTCAAAACCTTACATCAAATCTTTTAAATTTAGAGGCCAACATGAATTTTATTTACTTTCAATCCAATTCATCCATCAAAGAAACACAACCTATAATTATTTAATTGAATTATTATTATCTATCATTATTGGTATCATTATTGTTATTGATATGATTGTAGCATTAACTATCTCCAAATTTGGTAAAATATCAAGATTTTTGTGGATTTTGATATATATTGATTATTTCCACTTTAATAATTTTACACTTTGATATGCTACCAAAATAAGAATACTTAGAGAGATACTCCCATCCCTCCATTTCAAAATAATAAGACTATAATACAAAGTAGAAATTTATCACACTTGTCAATGCACTATTTTGACCATTAATATAAATATTTAAATATTAGTAATAAAAAATATTGATGCCATAAAAATTTATACTAATACCTACATTAATAACATTTTACATTTTTTTTGTGATACATCAATAAGTAAAAATTAAAAAAAAAAAAACTTGTTTAAAAGTTAATTAAATTATGTCAATAATTCAGAAACAAATTATATATATATAGTCTTGAAGGCCTTGTCAATGAGCCTAAAGCCCTAAACCAAAAGCTTCTAAACAAAAAATTATTTGGAATTATTTAGTGAGTGTTGTATTATAATTATTTTAGGTACTTAGGAATCAATACCATCTTCAAGCAGCAAAATGCAGCCTTTCATTACTCATTATAATAAAATTGCTTTACATCAATGCAGGTTTGCAAGTTATACAATGGTTCAAGCACAAAAGATGTTGGTGTATGCATTTCTCTCATTATTCCTTGTATCATTTTTTCCTACTAACGGCCGGTGTAGAGGGCTTCTCGAAAAAGATAGGCCGGATCATGTTGCCAAGACCATTGAGGTACTTTTCAAGGTTTTTAACAAATTTGAAACTATTTTGAAATGTACAAATAAAAAAATACCACCTTTTATATACATCTGGATGCACATAGAAATAGGTGCACATAAGAGTGGGTTTTTGCTCATTTCATATATTCGTAGTATTTGATTTTTGCTCATTTCATATATTCGTAGTATTCGGTTTTCGCTCATTTGATATAATTTTTATTTTGCTCAATTTAAAATAAACAAAATATTATATGAGCAAAAAATAAACTTTGGTGTATTTTACACCCGGGTTTATATAAAATTTACAGAAAAAGTATTTTTTATTTTTTGAAGGATTTACAGAAAAAGTATTCATACTTCTTAAATAATAAAATTGATTATGGTTTTCTCTCTCTCTCAAAAAAAAAGTATTTGTGTATGCTTGAAGTAATTAAAATTGATCAAATAATTATAATTTATCTTTTACAAGTAAAAAAATTAAATGTCTTACATAGATAAATAAATCTTAACTTCATATATTCACTGCATCCTAAAATAATTGACACGGTATAGTTCTTTTCACTAGTCATATACTACGTATTAACTTTGACTATAATTTTTTAATTAATGTAATAAAAACATATTTTATAATGAAATGCATCGTTAGACAGGTATTAATATAAAGTTTGATGATATAATTTTTTTTATTATTGTAATTAATATATACTCCCTCCGTCCCTAAGTTACATTCCTCTTTTCTATTTTTGATATTCCAAAATTACATTTCTCCTTTCTATTTTTGGTAAGTTTTTTTTAGTAAATCAACTTTTTTCTGTTTTATATTTAATGTTTTCTCACTCATCTTTACCTAATCTCACTCATAATCCTTGTGCCAAATTACAATGAATATGATTGGTTAAAAATTTTCAATTAGAAGCATGTGATTGATCCTTTTTTTTTGCAAAGGATTGATGACATGTCATGAGTAATAACTAATCTATCTCTGTATTTCTCATTGCATTATCTAATTATTGTTATTTGTCTTATTCTTTCCTCCTTAATTACCGTGTAAATTTCCAAAGAGGAATGTAATTTAGGGACGGAGGGAGTATTTTTTTTGACAGCTAATTAATATTTAATTAGAGAAAATAAGGTCAAATTAGTGCATTTATTGACATGTGTGCAAAGTTTGACTCTACCAATTATTTTGCTTATTATTTACAAAGTACAAATATATTTTTCAGACAGAATACGGGGATATATATGATTGCATAGACTTTTACAAGCAACCAGCATTTAATCATCCTCTCTTAAAAAATCACAGTTTTCATCCAGAGGTATGCTATGCTAACTTTTAATCCTTAATTAGTACTTCCTCATCTGTTCCTATTTATTTGTCTCATTTTCTTTTTTAACGTATATTTTAATAATTTGAGTAGACAAGATCGAGTTCTACTCCTAAGGTGGTTGTTGACAACAATGCTAACTCTTGGAGCAAGAATGAAATGTCACTACTAGATATGTTCCGTTTTAAGGATGGAGGGTGCCCTTCAGGAACTGTTCCTATAAGAAGACTCAGTAATTACCACACTAATTGGAAATACCCAGAGCAAGACGTTTCAGGAATTGTTGTAAGTTTTTCCTTTTTTTTTTTTTTTTTTAAAGAAAGTTTTTCCTCTTAATTTTAGTTGGTCTTTATTTTTTTAATTTGTATTTATTTTAGAACGATTTCCCATAATATTGTTGAAATAAAAATCAATTCCCATAATACATTGATTTAAAAATGAATTCCCTACCTAGTGTCCACGTAGGATCTTTTTTTTTTTTTTGCTTTTGGTTCAACTTAAAACGCTAATGGTAATAGCGGTTTTAAAAAAGAGACCTCCTCTAACAATAACAGGTCTCTTTGCGTCCTTGGTTAATTTACAAGGCATAGTCTTAAGGAAAATTATTTCAAAGAGACCGCCTTGCAATACGACAGGTCTTTTTGTATCCTTGTTAATTCTTAGACCACAACAAGAAAAGAGAGCGCCGGCAATTACACCTAATTTCAACGAGACCTCCTTTCAATAAAAACAGGTCTCTTTGACTTTATTTTACAAAAACTGCAAAACCGCTAATACCGTTAGCGGTTTTAAGTTGAACCGAAAACCAATCCTACGTGGACACTACTTTGGAAATTTTTTTTTAAAACGAAGCATAATGGGAATTAATTTCTATTTTAACAATATTAAGAGAAATCGTTCATTTATTTTAATTTTTAAATTTATTTTTAAAGTAGTATGTACTTATATTTTCATTTAATTAATCTACTCCCTTTGTCCCTAAATACATGTCAATTGATTAAGTTATTAAGAAATATAAATATTATTATATACTTGGTATTATTTATCTTTGGTTATTCTTAATTCATGTTAATTATGGTAATCTCTATTAAAATATGTGATGAGTAATAAATTATACATTGCATGAATTTGTTTCATGTGTAGTTTGCGTTGGGTCAAACCAAAAACGATCCATCAAAGAAATATTATGGAGCTCGAGGAGAAATCAGCGTTTGGAATCCACAACTACTTAAACCAAACCAGTATACTTCTGCTGAAATCATACTTAGAGGTGGTAATGACGCTATTATCGCTGGTTGGACAGTAAGTTTTTTTTAATTTACTAATTTAGTTTCAAATTTGATTATTCTTGAATTAAAATTATCATTTCTAGGTATTAATTTGTTCATATATATCTTTACTTTTTTTTTTCCAATGCAAGGTTAATCCAATGAAATACGGCGACAATCAAACAAGGTTCTTCATTTACGCAAATGTAAGATATATAGCAACATGTTACTTCGTATTATTTAACTTAGGAATAGTTTGTTATCAAATTAAATTTATTTATTTATTTTCTTATGGAAAATTTGTGAAGAAGGTCCTTTTAAGTAGACTTTTTTTTTTTATGACAAATACCCTTTTATAAAAAAGATGGCACAAAGGTCTTTATTGTTTGGGTTATGAGGAGGGTCCTTTGACTATTTTTCCGACGTTGACTTTTTTTATTTTCCGGCCAAAAAAAGCCACGTGTAAAGCACGTGACTTATTAAGTTCCCTTTTTTTCCTTATTTTCTCTCATTGTGGGGACGATTAGCCTTGAATTACTTTGAAAAGCCTTCAATTTTAATTTATGGGAATACAATTGAAGTTTTAGTGTTAATTGTTTCTAGAAATTAGGGTTTAATAGGGAAAAAAAAATGGGAAAACGAGAGATAAGAGGAGGGAGAAAAAAGGGAACTTAGATGTGACTTTTTTTGGCCAGAAAATAAAAAAGTCAACGCCGAAAATGATCAAAAGAACCCTCCTCACAACCTAAATATGATATAAGGACCTTTTGTGTCACCTTTTTTATAAAAGGGACTTTGTCACAAAAAAGTCTATGGTCTACTTAAAAGGACCTTCCTCACAAATTTACTTTTTTTATTTTTATTTATAACTTCCTTGGTTCATTTGTTACCAATATTTGTCAATATAAAGTCCAAATTACTCAGTAATTAACAAATCAATGAGTTTATCATGATCAATTTACAGGCAGGCGATCAACATTGTTTCGATTCAGAATGTGGATTTGTAGTAACAAGACCAGATATTCCCCTCAACTTAGTAATGTCTCCATTATCCAAAATTCCAGGACCAATTTACGCAAACTCTTTCTTTGTCTATCAGGTAACGTGTATATATATATATCCTAAATATGGAGTACAACACATACTTTTATCTGCTTCACTAAAATTGTTACACATTACTTTTTACGTCCATTAGGATGAGAAGAACGGGAATTATTATCTCCAAGGAGGGAAGGACAACATTGAACTCGGGTTTTGGCCGAAGGATATATTCGTAGGGCTAGCAAATGGTGCAACATATGCAGGATGTGGAGGAGAAGTATATACTGAAGGCACGGTAAAACCTATAGATGCACCAGTTATGGGAGCAGGAACATATCCTGATGAGCTTCCAGAAAAGACGAATTTCGCCTATTGCAAATTTCAAGTGGTAGATGATGCTCATAATATTGTGACAACTCCATATCTTGAGGAGTTTACAAATAATAAAGAGTATAATGCTGTTGTTACAAATCAGGAAAATGCTAAATTTATTTACTTTGGTGGACCTTTTCCTGTTAATGTTTAGTTTGATGCAATGTACTTTGGATGAAAACTAATAAAATTTTATTTAGCTTTGGATAATCATCATCATGTGCCTTGCATTAGGAGCAATATTTTTTTTGAGGATTTTTTATGAGCAATATAATATGCTTGGATAAGTCTCCAATCATTTATCTGTTTTTGTAGACACTTTGTTTATAACCGAAATAGCAGCACAAAACTCTGTTTATCAAACAGATGCTTAACAGTGGGTATTAGAAGCTTAGGAAAAATCTTAAACGACAAACATACACCAAAATATGCAGCAACTTTGAGCCTGTTAGGACAATATTAAGGTAAGCTTGTGCAAGTGCAGATTTATAATAAGGTCAGTAAGACAGACTTTTTATTTATCAGTAATGTATTATCTAATCAAAAAATAGATGAATAACTTAAAAGCAATTATAACAAAGGATAGGCTCATTAAAAGGACTACACATCTTGTGGAACAAAATTATAAAAAAAAAAAAACACTGAAACTATTAAAAATAAATGTTCATATCATCATAACAAGAAGCAGGGGAAGATTATTACATCCTCAAGAACATGGAACCAAAGAGAAGAAGACTAACTAGCTACATCATATCGATAAATGTATGGATACAACTCTGAAGCTCACAAATGACATCCTGGCGTAGATTATCACCAAAAGGAAAATAATCAGGTCCTTGATTTCTCAGAAGGTCTTGAACTTGAGTTGAGCAAATCCTCCCATCTTCTCCAAACTGAATGAGGGTACCGCGAGTATGTTCTTTAAAGAATATTTTCTTCGCCAGGGAAGCTGAATGATCAGGGTCAAAGGGACATATTAACCAAGGCATTACTGCAGATAGTTCAGATTCATCTTCCACTTCAATTGTACTAGTGTGCATACTCTGAAGGCGAACAAAGACCACATCGAATGTAGGATGATTTGCCTTAATCTCATTATACCAAATCAATAATTCATGATAAAGTGTAAAGCTATCCATAAGGTAATAATCAAGGTACAGAAGTATGTTTCTGCCTTTGAGTTCAGACACAACAATTTTATTATTTCCTCGAATAACATAATTTCGTGAACCATAAACCAACAAAGAGTCCAAGGTGAGTTCCCTAAGCCTCATCAATCCACTTTCGACAATGCCTTCTCTAGTGAACGGAAATCCTTCTATCCCGAACTGGTCTATGATCTCCGCGCCATACAGTTCCACATATCTATCATGTGGTCCTACTATATATGATTAGCTGATTTTTGTACCGTGGTCCATTGGTGAGCCTCTTGAGCCTGCGGCTTACTGAGTTATTGAAGGGCAATCTCCACCAAGATATGTTCTGCTTTTGTAACACACTATCCACTTTCGCGTTGTATATATCAGGATCAAGACAGTCATCAAAGGGCATGTAAACAAGCACAATCTCAAATGCCAGATTCTGAGCCCTGCAATGCTCATAGACCTTGTGCAGAGTCGGAATGAATGAATCAAAACCGGTCAAGTATAAGGCCACCACCTTCTCAGTAAGTTCCGAGATAGTCACCTGCTCACAATCACCTGCTGTATTATTCTTATAAACAAAATCAGAAGGACTGCAACCTAGTAGCCCCTCGAATGTGGATGTAGAGGGAGTTTCCCATATTGGCCAGTCATTCGCTCTAAGCTCTTGCAGCTTCTCAAAAGTATAAGGAAAGGCATCGGCTCCATGATCCCACAACAAGATAGGATATCCACACATTAAGTTTCTCCTAAAATCTACTTCATCCTTATCCAAAATGAGACATTGAATAGTCATACAAACATCCGGGCCAAGGCAAGGTCAGGGCCGTCTATGCCAATGCCAATGCCAAGGTACTTACATATAAAGTCACGACGCTTTGAGTCCTTGAACAGTACTACAAGGCACGAAGAGGGAAAACCCGACAAAAAGTGATTGAAAACAAACTCATGGTTCGCCAATTTGTTCATCTTCAAAACCACTACCATCTCAAAATCGTTTCTTGTGGAATACAAATCGTAACATGTAGTTGCTAGGAATCCTAAAGAATCCAATCCATATTGTGATATAATTTCCTATAGATATTTAAAGATAGAATTTGTTAAGATATAATTTCCTATAGATATTTAAATATTATTTGTTAAGGTTAGTATATTAAAATTAGGGGTCACTATGTTGAATATAATGTCAGTTACTTGTGTATAAATCTTATATTATAGTGACCCTTTCTTTTTTATTAATAAAACAACTATAATTTCTCTAATGTTAGTGGTTCACAATAAATTAGTGTGAATCAGATCCATTATATTTTTCTAGAAACTTCTATATTTTAATAGTCAACAATTTAAAAAACCGAGCATGGTTCGAAAATAATCAAGTTTAGTACTCCGTATAAGCAATAGGCAAAAATTTGTAGCCTAGAATTTCCGCTAAACTATGGGCACATAAGCAAATTAATTATGTAAGTACTTAATAATGTATTAAGGATTTTATTCAGATAACCTACAAATGAAAAGAGGTGTTTTAAATTACATCAAAAGATAAATACAAGTATTATATATATCCTTTATTATTTAATGGCAATTAAAGGTGGGCATGGGTCGTGCCAGCTCGCGGACGGCACGAGCCCGGCACGATTTCGGCACGGCACGGTGGCCCACTTGTGGGCCGTGGGCCGTGCCGTGAACACAAATCTTGAAATTTGGCACGGCACGGCACGGGCACGATCGTCGGCTCGCCGGCACGTTAATTTTATAATATATATATCGATTTTGTATAATATATATATTTTTAAAAATTAAAAAAACTTAAAAAACTGTGATGGCCCGCGACACGGCACGGCACGGCTCGCCAGGCCGTGCCGTGCCGTGGGTTAGGGTGTGCCAAAACTTGGCACGGCACGGCACGAGCCCCGCCCTGGCACAGCCAAGCATGGCCCGCGACGGCACGGCACGATGCCCATCTTTAAGATTGACAATTTTATCAAAACATTTCACGACTTTATATCTGATCCGAAGCTAATGAATACTCGATCAAATAATTAAAAACCTTAAGAAAAAAAAAATTCTCTTTTCCTGGTACATACTTTATCCGTTCTAATAATATTGCAACAATGGACTTTTTACACTATTCATCACTCATATTTGACCATATAATATGAGTTATATGTTAAACAAAATATAGTCAAGTGGGCTCTTGTTGGATTCGTCTCATAAAATGTTTTTACAATATCAACTTTTTATAATTTTTACTCTTACACTATTATAAATATTTAGCATATAAAATATGTTTTGGGATGCGTAATTTCCTCCTTTTGTAATATTAACAGAACGGAGGAAGTATATTATTATAAAAAAAATAAAAAAAAAATGTTGCTAATCAAGAGTGAGGCCACTCTCTTTCGAACCTCAACTTCAATTGGTTTTTTCTTAGAAACTTTCATCAGTTGCTAATGGTAAGTCCCATTAATTGAGCATATATTCATTGGAAATTTGGAATTGCATTAACTTAATTAATTACGTACCACGGTTCTAATTAAGGTACGGATTCAGAAGCATTATATTAGAACCTAAATACCAGAGCACATTTTGCCTAGTTAATCAGTCAGATTTAATCAGTAGATTCGCGCAATCGCGCGCCTAGTTAATCAAGCAGGATATTCTGAATTTGCATACATTGCCTCCAGTAAACTGTATTGGTTGAGCATTGTTTCAATATTGAACTGTCTCTTAATTGATAACCATCATTAGAAATATTTCTTGTAACAAAAAATTAACAGAACAGTCTGATTTTAATGAGTTATCTATGTTCTGAGTTGTACATATGATCATCTCTCTTCGAGATAAGTTAAAATGCAGTCCCTAAACTATGACATTGGTTGCATATTTGGTCTCTCATCTTTCAAATGAGGCAAATTGGTCCTCTACCACCCTTGCCTCACCATTTGCGGTGGAGGAACTTATGACTCGGCAAAGTTTGGGGATGTGTACTGCCAACTAAACAAAAGTCTAGGGACTTATCCTAGTTAGCATTTGTTTAGAGATTACAAATCATTGTTTTTTTTTTGTCAGCTACTAATTAATATTTATTTTTTATTATGTACAAACTTTGATTAAAATGAAAGAAAACATACCCAATTTTTTTTGTTTTTTTTAAAAATTAAATGACTTTTTTTTTTAAATATGACTTAAAGAATTAAAGAAGAAAATTAAATATGACTTAAAAAATTAAATACTTCGACTTTCTTTCAAACAAATAAATTAAACACTTCAAATTACAGAAATAGAAAAAGAAAAAATTAAGCCCTCTCTTCTTCTCTTTCGATTTGGCTGCTCTAATGGGGGAAACAATCCCCTATTTTGCACCTCATTAACAATCATCAACAATCACCATCTTTTAATTCCAGCCTTTGATTTTTTTTTTGTGATTTAATCTTGGCCTCCTGATTTAATTAATTCTGTGGCAGGTTGTTGGTGATGTGGGGTGAGAAAAGGTGGAAAATCCTTTTTTTTTTTGGAAATTCTATAATTTTATTAATGCAAAACATAACCAAAATATTAATGTTGACGGGGAAAAAAATTAATGTCAATTAAAAGATTCCCTTTTAAAAAAAAAAAAAAAAAAAAAAAAAAAAAAAAAAAAACTGACAATAAAAAAAAAAAATTAATCATGGTCCCTAAACTTTTGTTGAATAGGTTAGGTCCCTAAACTTTTTTTTAAATATTATTTTATTTTTTTGCGACATGGGTAGGGATGGCAATGGGGCGGGTCGGATGCGGATGATGGTACCTCCATACCCATGCCCGCCTAAAAATCTTATACCCATCCCCACCCCACCACCCGTGGCGGGTACAATATCCACATCCATACCCGCCCCATTGGGTACAAGATAGGATTCATTCCCGCCCCATCACCCACTTGAATATTCATACCCACCCATACCCGCCCTAAAATCGTCCCAAACCCATTGCCATGATGCTCTATTGTATCACATTTATGACAATTATATCAAATTAGATTAAGAAAATTGGGACTTTCATTATTCAAGCTTATTGGGTCTTAGAGAGTATCAAGTTTCATAAATTTTAAACTCTTCTAAAAAAATATGGTGCGGTTATAAGATGGGTACGAGGCGGGGCGGATATGGAGCGGGTCTACTCTAAAATCCATACCCGCCCCATCACCCATGGCGGGTACACATTTAATACCCATCCCCGCCCCATCACCCGTCAAACCTCCCTCCATCCTCGCCTCGCTTGGGCGGGGATGGGGCGGGTCTCCCATTTAACCCGACCCACTGCCATCCCTAGACATGGGCACTTTGGTCCTTAAACTTTGGTGACTCATCTTTTTCCACCGGAAAAGTAAGTTATGAGTGGTTGAGGGACCAATTTGCTTCGTTTGAAAGATGAGGGATCAAAATACTATAAATACTAAAGTTGAGGGATCGTATTTTAGCTTAACATTCTCTCTTCTATAGCTGATTCTGAATCTTTTTTTTGTGTCCATTTGATGATTGGAAGCATTCTTCAAGATGGGATCGAGTTAAAGTTCTTATAATAATGCTTAGATACAGGAACTAGTGATCATATGGCAATTGATAATGCTTTACATTTAACCACAAAAACACAGCTCTTTTATCAGTAGGAAGGTATACAAATTGTACTGAAACGATTACAGAAAATAAAATTCTACAAAGCTACAAGAAGCTCAAGATTATTATATATGTTCTCAGGAAAACGGAAGTAAAGAGACCAAGAATTGTAACTAGCTACACCATAAGATGCATATTGCCGTCGGAATACTCGTAATTATTATTTAGTTTATCAATGACTTCCTTGCGTAGACTATCACCATAAGGAAAATCACCAGGTCCTTGCTCTCTTAGAAGGTGTTGAGCTTCAGTTGACAAAATCCGGCTTTCTTCTCCAAACTGAATAAGGGTATCCATATTGTATGTATCTTCGACGGTGAATATTTTCTTTGCCACAAATGCTGAATGATCAGGGTCGAATGGGCATATCAACCAAGGCATTATTGCAGATAGTACAGATTCATCTTCCATTTTAATACTACTGATAATACTACTCTCAACAGAGTCAAGACGAACAAAGACCACTTCAAAACTAGGATGCTTTGCCTTAATCTCATCATACCAATTTAATAATTCATCGTAAAGTCTAAGGTCTTCCCCAAGGTGATCAAGGTACAGAATTATGTTCCTGCCTTGGAGTTCAGACACAGCAATCCTATCATCTCCTCGAATTACATAATCCCGTGAACCATACACCAACAATGACTCTAAGGTGAGTTCCCTAAGCTTCTTCATTCTACTTTGAACAAAGCCTTCTCTAGTGAATGGATATCCATCCATCCGAAACCTGTACATGATCTCCCTTCCATACGGATCCACATATTCATCATGGGGTCCTACAATGATGAGCTATGCAGTGTTAAATCTATTATAGGTGAATTTTTGAAGCCTCCGGCTTACTGAATTATTAAAGGGCAATCGCCACCAATCAGATTTGCCCTGCTTCTGCAACATACTATCTACATTCGCCTTGTAGGCCTCAGGGTCAAGACAGTCATCAAAGGGCATGTAAACAAGCACAATCTCAAATGCCAGATTTTGAGTCCTGCATTGCTCATACACCTCATGGAGTCTCGGAGTAAATTCTTCCCAATCGTTGAATATGTATAAGCCAACTACCTCTCCCTGAGTTCCGAGACAGTAATCTCCTGCTCACGGACACCTGCTGAATTAATCTTATACACAACATCAGAGGGACTGCACCCTAAGAGCCCTTCAAGTGTTGACATTGAGGGAGTTTCCCATCTTGGCAAATCGTTTGATCAAATTTCCTGCAGTTTCTTATCAGTAAACGGAAAGGCATCGGCTCCATAATAATTGCACCAGTCTTGAAGAAATCCACACAGTATAATGTTTCTCTTAATATTTACATCATTATCCAAAATGAGACATGGACCTCTCATAGAAAAACAACTGTAAGGGTTAATTTCATCAGTATATTCTGGTCCCTGAACTTTAAATTTCCTAGCAATAGGACATACGTAAATACGTTCCTCTCACGACGTCTTTTATGCTCTTTGCTTACCATAGGCCACATGGACTTCACAAGCCTTCCATAACACCGCGGCAAATCAAAAGAACATTCTTGATACAGTTCCTGTAGATCCTCAATCAAATTCGGCATGGACTCATATTGTCCTTGGCATACAATTTTTTTCTCAACATCCAACAAGACACATTTTAAACCAGGATCATCTATATCCACATTAAGGCACTCACATATAAAGTCGCGACTCTTTGAGTCCTTAAATGGTACTATAAGGACTCAAAGCGGTTAGATGCCCCGAGAAATCACTAAAATAAAAATTATCTCGGTGATAGTCTTGTTCATTTGGTTAACAGATCTTGTGGACATAATGTAACAAAGTCGTCATCAATTACGTGAGGGTCGTGGGCGTGAGTAGCAGGCAAGTGAAAATAACAGAAAAGTATGTAATTGCCAGTAAGAGTATTCTCATCCATCAGTATGATTTCATTGTCGTTATGGAGTTGGTAATCTTGGTACATTCGTCGAAGGCAATTCGACTCACCAATGTAAGACAACAAAGGACATAACATCCAAATCCTCCATATCTTCAAACCCTGATTTTTAAATATTTAATTAACATATTATGATCAAGTCAAAATGCAATAGTAAAAATAAAAAATAACCAAAAGATAGTAATATACTATTAGCAAGTTAATTAAAAAAAAAAATACATGGATGAAATTAAAAATGAAATTAAAACTCTAAACTTTAATTTGCTCCAAAGCTATGATCAGAGGAATAGAGGATTATTCAGCCAAGACCTCCAAAGCTCTGATTTTTGTTATAGAACAGAAACTGAGAAAGGAAGAAAGAGTCAATTTTTGTTTTTTATTTTTTTGGGGTTTTTATAAAAGAAAAAATAAATAAAAATAAAATGTTTCAAACCTCTCACAAGTGAAGGTAGAAAAATAGAATTGGGAAAAATTCTGGGCTCCAAACAGCTGCTGTGGTGGTCGGTGCTATGGAGCATGGTGGTCGGTGCTATGGAGTATGGTGTTCGCTACTTTGGTTTTGGGTGATCATCAATTGCTGCCCTTTCCTTCCTTTCTTTTATTTTACAAAAAAGAATAATATTAGAGTGAGTGTGTGACATAATTTATTTATTAACACCGCTAATGCCATTTACGATTCTTGTCTAGAAACCGCTAATAACATTCGTAGAACCGCTACTGCTAGACCAGAATTTAAAAAAAAAAAAAAAACAAAAAAAACAAAAAGACAAACCTTGTACCAATCTCCCGTGGACAGTATCGTTAAAATAAGCTTTTAAATCGACATAACTACAGAACTAATTTATATTAAGCAAATTTTACGGAAATTGTTCCTGAAATATCTTCACTCGAATCTAAATTAACCCAAAAGGTGAATCACGTTTTATTTAAAAAAAAAAAAAAACCTTTAATAAGGTCCTGGCTCAATTTGATGTAAACAGATCTGGACTAGGGATGTCAGTGGGGCGGGTCAAGTAGGAGACCCGCCCCATCCCCGCCCTAATGGGGCGGGGATGGGTCTCGGTTTGGCGGGTGGTGGGGCGGGGATGGGGATAAAAACCATACCCGCCATGGGTGATGGGCGGGGGTGGATTTTAAGTTGTACCCGCCCCACCTCGTACCCGCCCCATCCCCACCTCATACCCACATCTATATATCTTTTAAAGCAAAATTACATACTTTTATTCTATTTATAAAATAATTACATGAAATACAATGTTAATTATAATATTTTGTACGACACTTATTTATAACACAAAAATGTGTATAGAATGTTTTATTTTATAATTCGTATTAATTATGTAAGATTGTGTATTTGAGATGCGGATATTAGGTGGATCTTGGGTGGGGATTAGGCGGGTCTTTGGTGGGGATTAGGTGGGATGGATATCCAAGTGGGGGTTGGGGCGAGGATGGTTTTGGGTTGTACCCGGTGGGGCGGGGTTTGGGATGAAAATTGGACCCGCCACAGGGATGGGGATGGGGATGAAAATATTAGGTGGGGATAGGGATGGGAATGTCAACATCCGCCCTGCCCCGCCCCATTGACATCCCTAATTTGGACTTAAAATTCCAGCCTAGAACTTTGGTCCAATCACTTGGCCCAAAATGGGTCATTTCTTTGCAATAAGTCTACTGTGCACCCTGCTCCATCAAAGATAGCTGGACCACAGGCGATTGTTCAGATTTTATTACCAAATATTCAAAAGTATGAACGTGGTGCAGTGTTCGGATTTTTTTACAAAGTGTTCAAAATTTGCAATTGTTCAGATTTTTTACGAAATGTTTAAAAGTACAGGCATACATTGAGATTGTTTAGATATTTTTACTAAATGTTCAAAATTTGCAATTGTTCAGATCTTTTTACTGAATGTTCAAAAGTATAGGCGTGGTACATTGAGATTGTTCAGATATTTTCACTAAATGTTCAAAAAAATTAATATTTAGATTTTTTTTTTAAAAAAAAAAGTTCAAAATTTGTAATTGTTCATATTTTGTTTACTAAATGTTCAAAAGTATCAGGTAATCGATCATAATAGATATGAATTGATCGATCGAATTAACTTCAACAAATTCAATTGATATTAGAACAATGGTTTCATCTACAAATTCATCTCAAAATCAAAAAAATACATACAAATTAATGAGAACAGTAAAAATAATCGGGTAATCGATTACGAATTGAAATTAATCAAATTAGCTTTCACAAATTCAATTGATATTAAAACAATTATTTCATCCACAAATTATCTCAAAATAAATTAATATTGATCACAATGAGTTCATAATAACAAACCTGGATTGATATCTTTGGTAATTTAAAATTGTTCCATCACGTTAAATGCAGAAATTTAAAGGAAAAAACGAAAAATCAAAGAACAGAGGAGAGAGAAAATAGGAATTTGAAAAAAAAAAGATATGAAGTAAATTCAATAAAGAAATAAAAAGAGATTATATTAAAGAGAGAGAGTGAGAGTGTTTCTGTAAAAAAAAAAAAGGAAATAAAATTTTGTAAAGATGGTGGGAAGAAGAAGAAGAGAATGAAGTTGTGTTTCATTATATAAGGTTGTGTTTCAATAGAGGTCTAGCTATTTTAGATGGAATAGGGTCCATAGAAGAATTTGTAATTTTTTTGGGCAAAACCTGAGAACAGCCCGACCATTAAACTTAATATTTAAAAAAAAAAAAAAAAAAAAAAAAAACCCCTAATATTAGTGACTGAACCTCCTTGGTCCTTCCTTAAGACCTTAAACATGATAGTCAAACAAAGTCTTCCTTAAAACCTTGAACTTTCAACGTTTTCAAATTATTGACGAGATTTTATATATATATATATATATATATATATATATATATATATATATATATATAGGGGAGGGATCCGGTAAGAACCCTTCTTTATATAAAAACCAATCTTATATAAGAACCAATCTCAACCATAAGATTAGATTGACTTGAATGAATCGGATTAAAGGAAAGAAAGTAATGGCACTTTTGTAAATATTAACCGCAACCTCTATTACTTAATATAAAAATAAGAACATTCTCTGTCCTACCCATTTGCTTCACTTTCTCTCTCCTAAAACCAAAAACACACTCCACAAAACCTTCATTAACAGACCAAATTCAAGCTTCTTTAAAAGATTTCTCTCAAATTTTCTGTCCTAATCAATGATCAATTACTCATAAATTTGCACTAAACATGTATGATTTAGCAATTTCAGTTTTTGCCAAGCCCTAGATTGACTCAATTCTTAGATTCGGGTATGATTGAGCAATTTCAGTTTTTCAATTTTTGGGATTTTTTCTATTTTAGGTATTTTCTATTTGTTTCTTCGGTTTTTTTCCGATGCTCTTTCGATTTTTAGGATTTTATCGATTTTAGGTATTTTATATATGTTCTTTCGTTTATTTCTACTGTCATTGATTTTATTTTTTCGAATTTAGTTTCAAGGTTTTAGCGTTTTGGTGCTGTGAATTTTTTCTTTTATTATTTGACTTATGTTCTAAATTAGGTCTATGTTTATTATTTATACAATATAGTTAATTGATTAAATGTAATTTGCAACATTAGTATACTTAGCTTAATTGATTAGCATTATTATACGGAGTACTTCGTATCAATATTCTAAACTATATTTTCGATTAAGTTCATGACCATGTTCTAAATTTAAGTGTCGTATGTTCTAAATTTAGGTTTAGCATGTTCTAAAGATGTTTCTAGGCTGGGTGCGGTAATGCGGTATGCAGAGGAAGTTCAGGGGAGATCTTTGGTGTGTTGTGTTTTAGAGCTCACAAAATTGACCTGAAATGATATTATATATACAAGTAATAATTCAGAACGTCTGATTTATGGTTTAGAATATGTGATTGAAACATTCGATTTAAACTTTAAAATATATGGATAACACTTTAGAACATAAAAATGTTCTCAAATGTTCTTACATAGAGAAGGTGGTCTCACTAGAGCTTTCCCTAGGGATTCGGTAAGAACATAGAGAAGGTGTTCTCGAACGTTTTTGCTTATGTTCAAAATTTTTTTGCTTATGTTCTAAACTTTTTCTTCTTATAATCTAAACTTTTTTTTCTTATATTCTAAATTTTGTTTCTATGTTCTAAATTTTTTTTCCTTATGTTCTAAATTATTATTTTTTCTATGTTCTAATTTTTTTTTTTTTGCTTATATTTTAAACTTTTTTGCTTTATGTTCTAAATTATTATCTTTTCTATGTTCTAAACTTTTTTTTTTCTTATGTTCTAAACTTTTTTTGCTTATGTTCTAAATCTTTTCTCCTGATGTTCTAAATTATTATTTTTTCTATATTCTAAACTTTTTTTTTTCTTATGTTCTAAACTTTTTTTTTTCCTTATGTTCTAAACTTTTTTTTGCTAATGTTCTAAACTTTTTTTTTCCCTTATGTTCTAAACTTTTTTTTGCTTATGTTTTAAACTTTTTTTTTGCTTATGTTCTAAACTTTTTTTTTTCCCTTATGTTCTAAACTTATTTTTTGCTTATGTTCTAAACTTTTTTTTGCTTATGTTCTAAACTTTTTCTCCTCATGTTCTAAACTTTTTTTTTATGTTCTAAATATTTTTGCATTTTTTTTCTATGTTCCAAACTTTTTTTTTTTTTGCTTATGTTTGAAACTTTTTTTTCTATGTTCTAAACTTTATTGCTTATGTTCTAAATTTTTCCTACTTATGTTTACAAAAAAAATTCTTATGTTTTACTTTTCCTGTTAATATTCAAAGCTACCCTAATCACCATTTTACCAAACATTCACATTTTATTGTTCACTAAAAGCTACTTATAAGCTAGCGTCGAACACATATGTAGCAAAAAAAAAAAAAAAAAACTAAAAATTGTAGCAAAAAAAAACCAAAAATATTGGAAAAAAAAACTGATAAAATGACAGCACACAAAAAACCAAACACATACTTGGCAAAATAATTGCAGATAATTGGAAAGTGAAAACTGATTGAAATGATTGCAAACTAAGCATTAATATTCCCAAAAAATCGAATTATTCCAATAAAAAAATCTTGATCTAATTGGTAAGCTTGCAAAATATAGAATTAATAAAAATACAAAATAAAGCAAATTCGATAATAGAATTGATAAAGCTACAGTAAAATGTGGAAAAAAATTAATGATATCGTCATCGAGTAATTCGGTTTTGAATCAACGAAGGAAAATTCTAAGAAAATTGATGAAGATAATCAATAATTATCGTGTAAATGTGTAATGTATCATGAATTTGCACAAATTGCACAAATAATTCAATCATAAAATTGATAAACTTGTAATGATTTCTGGAAAAAAATTGACGAAGGTAAATAACGAAAAATCTGGAAAATATTGATCTGATGAAGATAATCAATGATAATCAACGAAAATTTCGGAAAAAATTAATGAAGATAATCAACGATATTCCAGTATATCGTGTAATATATCATGAATTTCACAAATATAATGTAGAATTTGATGAAACTGGTGATTTTGGGTAAAACTAGAGCTGAAAATGATGAGAGAAGAGAGAGAGAGAGCGCGCGCAATGCGAGATTAAGGGAAAGACCGAAAGATAAGAACAAAGGAATATAGACTACGTATATTACTAAAATGCCATTACTATCATATTCAATTGTGCAGTCAGATTTACACTAATTCTACGATTGAGATTGGTTCTTATATAAGTTTGGATTCTTATATAGAGGAGGGTTCTTACATGAGTCTTCCTATCTATATATATATATAGCTTCTGGGCCAAAGAAACATCAGTTACAGAAATAGTTGGTATATCATGCATTCAATAATTCATGTTGCTGGCCTTAAGCACGCAAGATCAGGTTATTAGTTCAGCTTTAGTGTCTAGTTTGGTACAAACTCTTAAATAGACCTGGTTCACACTAATTTATTAGGGACCATGTACACGCAATTTTTTTCCCTAACTTGATTGTTGATGATTTTGCCGGAGTAGAACCTGACAATGAAGAACAGAAGAAGAGAGATGCTACCTAAGAGAGGTAAATTTAAGGGCATTTCAACCACGTAAAAAAAAATATAATAAATAAATAAATAAATAAATAAATAATAATAATTAAACTTAATATTTTAAAATAATACTCCGTAATAATAATAAAATAAATAATAAAAAAAACCTAATATTAGTGACTGAATCTCCTTGGTCCTTCCTTAAGACCTTAAACAGTAAAACATGATAGTCAAACGAAGTCTTCCTTAAAACCTTGAACTTTCAACGTTTTCAAATTATTAACGAGATTTTTAAAAAAAATATATATATATATTATACTATGATCCTGTTTAGTAGTAAGGTTATTGGGGGTATATTAGCTTATTTGACTAACTTTAGCTGATTGACTAGTCAAACAAGCTAATAATATAAGTGTTTGGTAGTAACCTTATTGAAAGATCTTATTCCACTCAATAAGCTCTTTTTGAAAAAGCTCATTTTAAGAGCTTTTTCAATTAGCTTATTCATTAATTATTGTGAAATGACACTTATAACCTCATTTAATTTAAAATCCTATCTAAACTACCTACCCCACAATTAGCTTATTGGTCATTTCACATACTCAATCACCTTTAAGCTATCAACTATTTACCAAACACTTTTATATAATCAGTTAATACAATAAGTTAATTAAATCAGTTAATAAAATCAGCTAGTCAAAATCAGCTAACTCAATCAGTTTCAGCTTTCAGCTTTCTCCCAAACAGAGCCTATAGCTTCTGGACCAAAGAAACATCAGTTGCAGAAATAGTTGGTATATCATGCATTCGATAATTCATGCTGCTGGCCTTAAGCACGCAAGATCAGGTTATTAGTTCAGCTTCAGTGTCTAGTTTGGTACAAACTCTTAAATAGACCTGGTTCACAGTAATTTATCAAAAATACGAAAATATTTCAGATAATGAGACGTGAATTTACCATGCTATTTTAATCAATACGAATAGTATCAATACATATACCATATTGAACTATTTCTTGAAAAAAAAAACGCTATCTTGATCCTAACTTGTATGAAAAAAAAAAAAACAAAAAAAATAACTCGGTAATAAAACTTAAGATGTAAACAGAATTAGAATTAAGAAATACTCCCTCCGTTCCTAAATGTTTTTTACGTTTTCATCTAGGGTGTTCCTTTTTATTCTTTACATTTAGTATATTTCCTATTTTAGTCATAAATTTTGGACAAAATTACCCTTGTTTTACAATTTTTTTACTCAAAAGTCCTTACTTTTCCATGTGATATTGTACTTTTTGTACTATTTTAATAGTTTTTCTACACTTATTATTACTTTCTCTCTCCTCTCTCCTCTAATTTCTTCACCCCACATGATCAACATTGTATTTATCAATAAAATTGTACTTTCAATCATTGAAATATTCCAATATACCTCAACTTTACACAATTTATTGATAACCGCGCATAATTCCAAACGTAAAAAACATTAGGGAACGGAGGGGGTATAATATTGCCTCTGAGTTATGCGCTTCAACCGCATGAACCTTCTGGTTGTGTATATGAGGTTATGAATGACTCTAAATTGACTTTCTCAGGCTTGTTCTCCTTTGGACAAGGCCCTCTCTCTAGTGAACATATGCATCAATTCCGTAATTGCATATGACCTATACTCCATGAGGCTTAACATATGCCGCATAGGCTCCCAAATAATACTCCCTCCGTCTTTGATTGATAGTCACTTTTGAAGAAAAATCACAAGAATTAAGGAGAATCAAATAAAGTAAATTGAAAAGGTAAATTTACATTGGGTATGTAAAGAAGTAGAGAAATAAAGTAATTAAAGTATATAGGAAAGTTAAATTTACACAAATATTTTTGCAAATGTTAAAGAATTTTGCTAAAAAAAAATAATATTAATGGTACTTGAAAAAAGCAAATGTGACTAACATTTTGAGTCACCAAAAATGACAAAAATGACTATCAATCGGGGACGGGGGGAGTATCATAAATGGGTCGAATAAGCCTGCGGCTTACAGAGAAGATAACATGCCACCAAGAAACTAATAATAGTTCTCATACAAGCCTTGGATCAAGAAAGACAATAACGGGTAAGTAGACAATCAATTTGTAATCTGCTGCACAAACGACCAATAGGCAAATTTTAGCCTTGATGTTCTTTCTTAGAAAGAGCTTTTATGCACATATCTTGATGAAATTATGACCAAACACCAAGGTAGCCTCAAAACATTACAAAAGAGATCACTCGTTCCGTGATCAACACAAAATTACTACGGATCATGTAACCACAACGGTTTCTTCAATTGTTTTCTACTTATATAACATTTTAATTGGGTGACATTGAACAATGGCCACTTGGCCAGACCCTTGAACCTCTTACAATAGCTCAAGAACTCGGCCTTCAAAAGATAGTTATCAAGATAAAAGCAGAGGTAACAATTAACACAAACATATGGCAGGTTAATCCAGCATTTTAAACTTCTGTACAGTGGTTTAAAAGGCTTCAGGAGACGAGTTCATCACCTCTGTGTTTAACTATACAAAAACAGCTGCAGTTGACTTCTAATAATCCCTAGATACAAACTAGGTATATTTTTTCAGCTCTACTTATATAAAGTAATGTTGCGGACATGGAAGCTTACAGTCATGAACGAGCCAACCCATTCCATGATGTCTCAAAATCAATATAGAGCATACCTGCATCAACTGGAGCAGGCACTGAAGCTTGGTTGTTCATATCCAATAAGAAAGAGTCCTGTGAACCAAGAATGTCACTTCCATCATGGTCCCAGTTCTCAAAATCAAATTCTGGAAATTCTGTATTATCCAATACATTCCGCTCTATTGTTGGTAAATATTCATGCACAGGCACTCCACCTTGAACTACGAAATTCTCTGTTGCAGGCAGTTGGCAGCTCTTTGAAACAGTGTTCAATGCATTAGAAGCGCTACATGATAACATTGCGCCAGAATAACTTTGTTCTGCAGAAGGATGGCTCCTCTGAGTTATACTGCTTAAAACATCAGGGGTACTGCAGGACAAGTTTGGGCCAGAAATAGTTTGAGTAACTGCTGATTGTATTTTACTGCATAGTGTAATGTTGCTTTGTGCATCAGTATTACAAGGAAGAACCAGACCAGAAACATTTTGTGTTTGGTTCATGGATGTATAAGCATAGGGGCTGTTACTTGCAATAGCAGCAGAATGACCTCCATGGAAATGTGAAGTCGGTGTATGAGGACTAGGCTGACTATATCCTTGCAATTGCAAAGGTGATGTACCAGGAGATATACTGCTTGGCAGACAAAAACTTGGATTTACATCCAACTGAAGTGATGACACTGTTGAGTTAGTGGAATTGTTTTCAGCAAGGTTTTCAGTTAACTGCTGATTTGGCAGATGCTGTAGGTACGCTACACTAACATTTTTTGGTGCACGATAAGTAGGCCGATTAGTAACCACAGGTCTACTTGGGAATCCAGACCTCTTGAACATAGCACGGGAAGCAACCACTCTATTTCCCTGGACTTGGGTACTACTGGTACAGTTCCGTAGAAGTGCCCCAGAAATCAGATGTGGCTGGAATCTTGTTGATGCTACAGCGATACTAGATCGCTGACTCCTAATAATATTAGGGAGGCCAAATGTTGAAGGCACCCCACAGGCAGATGTCGGATTCACAAGTGAATTAGTTCCTGACGGAATTTGTTGCAATTGCGGAAGCTGGTTCAAAGAACCAAAACCAGGCTTGGTAATTGGAATGGGAGATGAAGGGTTCTTCAACTGCCTGAATTTCTTCCTTGCAAGCTTCCAGAATTCTTCCTTATCAGTAGCATGACAATGATCACTACTTGAAGCTCCAGAGCCCCAAAGGGAACATGGAGCAAGTGAGTCGCAAACATAGCAATGGCACTGCATTCCATCAAGGCGAAATCACACTCCGCAAAATTACAATGAAGAGCAAACAAATGTAAAAGAAAAACAAAGCATAAGGGTAATCTAACCATTTCGCAGCGGCTTTCATGTGAAGAAGAACTGAAAGGAAATTTGGCACAAAGATGTCGTGGATGAGGATAATCTCTGCATGCAACCTGCAATAGAGTGCAAGCATGAGAATTTTATTCATTGGGAATGAGAACGGAAGACGCTTATGCTTCATGGAGAACGCCACAAAAGGATTGTCATTCATTTAGATCCTTCCCTACAACCACACTTTTGTATCTATTCACTACAATACATTTCATGGCCCAGCTTCAATTAAAGCAATGTTTTGTGAATGATTTGTTATAAGTTTACAACACCAAAGAACATACTACGGAGAATAATAGTTGCCAAACATCATAAGCATTGGGAGCTGCGAGTGTAAAAGCAATAACAATACTGCCAATTAAACCCCACAAAAGACAATGCTTTACATATAATCAGATGGAACTGTGCAAGGCATACCAATGCACTATTATGTGGTACCCAAATGCAACAACTCTCCGAAAAGAACTGCATGAGCCTGAAAACTGGATCTGCAAGAGCCAGCACACTATAAAGCATTGGTAGTCAGGCAAAAATTTACGACTAGCAACTGGACTGAGAAATTCTGTCAGCAATATAAGCAGAAAACACAATCAAAGGGAGGGAGAGACGGAGCGGCAGGCTATCTCCAAAAAAGCACAAAATTTACGACATGAACTATCAAAAAAAAAACAAAAAAAAAACAAAAACACCAACAAACAAATAGAGTACAACCCCATAGAATTCATGAATGTTTAGAGATTCATGATTCTCACACAAAAGGACCAACCAAATTCTCGAAAATGACAGCAAAGGCTGGTGTTGGTTAGTTGGTAACTAGTCTATGAAATTCTTCATCTACAGTCAGACAAAAGCTGAGGAAGATATGGGCCACTATGCATATGAAAACAGCATAACATGGTCATACTTACATAACACCCAAATACAGCACAGAAAAACCATGACATTTGTCAATTGAGACATAGCTACAAAAAACAAATTCCCAAGAACCCAGTTTCATAACACCCTGCACCTAACATTACAATAACATCAGCAATTTGACCAAATAATTCAGAAAACCACTAAATTCACATAGGGAAAACAATTTATCAACAAAAGATAAGCAAGCTGATTACACTTCACAAACACCGTCAGAACAGTTATAAAATAATCTTTCCAAAATCTTAAAAAATCATATCAAAGATACCTTAGCTTATAAAAAAGGATACAACTAATAGAAACCACCAAAAAAATACACAATTCCCTCAAATTACAATATAAAACTATCTCTAATAAAAGAATTTAGACTAAGTGAAGGACACCAAAATTCAACCAGAGTAATTCTTGTCAGTAATTAAAGCAAAAAATATCAACATGAGACAGAGGCAGGCTGAATCCAGAAAATGCACACCATTAACAGTATCAAGGACTATCAACCGCTGAAATATCTACTAGTTTACAGACCAACAAATTCCATCAACTAAACCTCCAAAAAAATGTACTGCTCTATCATTATGTTCACAAGTCCAGTGCCAAAAGAATGCATAATTCTAACTTAAACCCAACGAACTCTGAAGAAAACGCCAATTAAATGAAAGCGGAAGCTAGTGTCAAAGACCTCTATGTTTAATCCACGAAAAATCATCAAAATGATATAAACCCAACTACGCCTATGCAAGTAATGCAGCAATCATGACATGTTCAGACAATCATAAGATTCATAACAGCACCGAAATAAAGCGTTCTTGGATAGCAAATGGGTAACATGAAACTTGAAACTCAGTCAAGTAGCGCCCACTACCAAAAGTTTGATATCCTCGATCAGCTAATTTGCCTGAATGTTCATAACATTGGAAATCAACAACCGAGATACAATTATTTAATACAAACGTCAGATAAACAAACTAATTATAACCTACAAGACCATATTAATTAGTCATCAAATTCCTTTTACAAAATCCAAAAGGCTGAATTCCCACCAAAAACACAATTCCCTCGCATAAATCCCATGAAACTACCTCTAATTCAATAATTCAACGCCAACATCAAAATTCAACCAACAAAAAGGTTAAAAAATCATAAAACTCATATACCTGACCCGTTTCGCCAACGATAAGCAAATCATCCGAGTCTTCTTCGGATTCCTTAACCTCGTCTTTCGGTTTATCGGGATCACCTTCCAACACCACACAATCATCATCATCATCATCAATTATAGGCATCAAAGTTTTAGCCTTTTTAGGCTTCTGTACTATAACTTCACCAACCACAACAACATCATCATCGTCATCAACAACAACCTTATCACCACCACCACATCCGCCGTCGTCGCCGTCGCCGTCGATGCCGTCACCTAAGTTGAAAATACCACCAACAGAAACAGGATCATCATCTTCAAGAAGCTTCGTAATCCAATCAAAATTGTCGGCGGTGGATGAATTGTCAAACCCCACTTCTTCATCGGAACTCAATTCAAGAATTAGGTTTCGGTCCATTGAAAATTTAATCGAAAGAGGGGGAATATGGGGGAGAAATTTCGTGGGATTTTGTGGGATTTAAGAGAATTGAAAAACCCATGAAGAAATTAGGTGAAGGAGAAAGAGAGAGTGAGAATTAAGGGGTTCAATTCTGAAGAAACCCTAGAAAACTGAAAGTATACCAAAAATGGCATTTGAGAGGAGAGAGAAATCACGAGGTTTTTTTCAGTGTTGACTCGGTACAACCCCGTGAAATCGAACGCATGAATGAAAAAAATATGACGAAAATTTGACAAACAAACAAAGTTAGCGTGATCAGCACGTGATCTAAAGTTTTTTTTTTTTTTTTTTTTTTTTTTTGAGAAAAATCTAAAGTATTTTTTGGGCTAAGTTTTTATGATGTTTATTTGATTGATTGGGCTTTTTAAAAATGTTAGTTACAAGTATCATTTTATGTTGTATCATTATATGCATAGCTTCATGGACTGGATTCAATGGTATTATTAGTATGTGTTTATGTGACTATGTGGTTTGGACTGGATTCAATGGTATTATTAGTATGTGTTTATGTGACTATGTGGTTTGGTGGTTGATCGGTTTTTTTTTTTTAGGGGTAAGGGTTGGGCCCCACCTTAATTTCCTATCACAGGAATATCAAGGGGGTATTACCCACAGGGGAGGAGGGATATGAGCCTCGAACACGGGTTACTACCACGGGAATTGAAACTTAGCTCCACTGATCAGTTGATCCAAGTAAAAATGATGTTCTACAATATCTAAGGTTAGCATAATTTAGGACTTTAGATTTGTACAATTCATTCTAATATGGATTCTACCTTATGAATAAGAGTATGCATGCAAAATTGAATTGATTGTTGAATGATCTAACACAAACTTGAATCTTATTAGAAGCTAGATGACTAAACTAAAAGCATATATATATATATATATATATATATATATATATATATATATATATATATATATATATAATTTGACCTAAGCTAAATACAATTGGGATTGAGAATTGATCTAATCTGGAAAGACACAACTTGATTCATGTTGTACAAAAAACTTTTTTATTTAAATATGATTCCTGATTCGTACTTGCTTTGCATTAAAGTCGATAATCTCTTCATCTGAATAGAACCCAACCTGAATTTGAATTGAATAACCATTTACCAACTGTAACTACAAGTATATCCTTACAAACTTGACAAGATTTAAGATGTTAGCTTGTATGTTCAGCTTGCCCCGATCAAATTGAAAACAAGTCATAGAAGGGTAGTTGTTAAACTAGTCAACATTGACCTAAATTGAGGTTGAAGTAAATGAATATAATATAGTTGATCTATGCTAAATAAATGGAGAAACATGTTTATCAAACCCCTATCAATCACAACATTGATAAGAATTATTGATATTTTAAGTTGCAAGCTTGATTAAAAACAATTCAATTAATCTAAAGCAAACGTATACTCCTTTCTCATAAGGAAAAAGCAAATGTGTATTTTTAAAATAGGAGCAATAGGTGGAGATTTTATGTTACTTTTCATATCATATATAAAGCTGGAAATGCCTAAGTCATACATATGATTGTCATCATCCTTTTACAAAGCAAAAGATCAGTCTTCAACTCTTCATTCTTCGAACAATACCCCAATTTTGCAAATTTGGTCCGTCTTAAACAAAACGCATGACTCTAAAGTCACAACAATGCAATTTTGCAAATTGCAACTACCCACTACTAGAGACATTAGCTGTGTTATTGACTAGTTTTTCATGTTGAACCAATATTCGCAAATGGAGTCAACTATATAATATAGCAATATTGAGTGCGATTTCTAAACTACTTTTTTTTTTTAATCACATAGCAACACACGTGTTGACAATTAGCGGATAGTTGTAGCATATAATATTAGTTGACTTAACTAATTAGTAAAATTATTATTATTTTTTTTAAAAAAGTCCATTTGTTGTATGCATGTTCTATAACTTTGTATTTTTCTCCATTTTTTTTAATCCAACTTTTATTCCTAAATGATATTTACAAACTTCAAAAAAATAATACTCTGTGACAAAGAAAATTAAAGGAAGTACATAGCCATGTTAGTAAGGAGTATTATCTTAAACTAGCTTTTTGGCCCGTTTAATGTACGGGTTATTACTTGGGGTTAATTATTTGAAATAATTGCTTTATTTTTAAAAGTTAAAGGAAAAAAAGACCGAGGGTGGTAAAACTGTGAAAGAAGATGAAGGAATTTATTTAGATATATATACCTGAAGATTGTGAAATATGAAAAGATATATTAGTTTAAATTATATTTAAAGTCTAAGAGATGAAAATATTATTTTTATTATAATTCATATGTTTATGTAATAAGTACTAATTAATTAAACTTTATTTTATTATGGTGGAAATGGAACACTTCATTTTCTTACTTGAATATAAATATTAAGAGAGGTGACATGTGTTATATATGGGGTATTGAGTGACTTGTGATGCCATGTGTCATATAAAAAATTGTGGTTTGTGTTTTTAAATACTAAGTATAGATTTATCTTAGTATAATTTTTTAGTTTAACAACTTTTTTGATAGCTAGAAAAACATTTAATTTTTTATTTTAAATTACCACCCTTTAAATTAAATAATGTTCACATTACCACCCATTTAAATAATCCGGTGGATTTTCCGTTTATAGGCCCCACCTAACACTTATTTGGACCATTTTGACTGATTTTTTCCCGATTTTTCTCTTTAAAAACGCTCTCTAAACTTTAATTCACATTTCTTTCACCAAATTCTACCAAATTTCAAAGAAAAAATGTGAACTGAAGTTAGGAAAACATTTTTAAAGAGAAAAATCGGGAAAAAAAACAGTCAAAAGAGTCAAGATAAGCGTTAGGTGGGGCCCACAGATGAAAAATCCATCGGATTTTTGAAATGGGTGGTAGTCTGAGCATTTATTTAATTTAAGAGGTGATAATTTAAAATAAAAAATTAAACGGGTGGTTTATTCAAAATGGTTACATTTTTGGATGGTAATTTAAAAATTTTCCTTTTTATTAATATTCTAGTTAAAATTATTAATAAAATATAAAAAGTCGATAAAATTCACGTATCGCACCATCTGCATGTCCATTGACGAGATAAGTGTGATCCCAAAACGTTTTACAGAGTAGCAGTTTTAAAACTTCTTAAAATCGGGAGTTTAAAAAAAAATAATAACGTGAAAGATCAAAAAGCACAAACGGCAGCGTAGTTTAATGGAGAGGCAAATAAGAATTAAACAGTTTCCAATAAATTCCCATTAAACCGGGTAACTGCCATGTGCCAGTTAATTTCCCCGGAAATGCTCCTTTTAAACTCCCACTCGCCATTTCAGCGCGTCACATTTAACTGCTTTCTTTTTCATAATCCTACGGCTGTGATTCAATATTACAGATCGATCCAACGCCTCAGATTAACAGGAGTAGTAGTAGCATGTAAAGTGGGACCCACAGGTTAATTTAGCCAGTTGTCGGTTACTGTTTATAGAGACCTTACTGCTAAGCATGTTTTAAGGGAGCTTCTATCACGTGCTTAGCTGCTGCTCCCTAATCATTTTTATTTTTTTAATTTACTAATTTTAGATTTAAATAAATTATTAATACTCGTATTAATTTATTTTGGCTGCGTTTGGTCAAAGCATTTAGAACAACTTTTATGAATATGCTTAAATGTTTAAATAATTGAAATTGGTGTTAGGTCTTTATTAGTGTGGATTTTTTAATAGGATAGATTATGTGGTCAAATTATCACCAAACTTTTATTTTTATTAATAGAAATTTCATCAAATTTATAATATTGTTTAAAGTGCGTGTTGTCTAGTTAGGAGTGATTGGTCTAAATCTCTAATGCATGGTTTGATTAACTGGTTTCTTCAAGGAGACAGTTGGGATTATGTTATGCAAATCTATGTTTTGATTTTAACAGATCTGATCTTGCCCTTCTTGTTTACACAACATGTTAAAACAAATGTGTTTAAGAGCTATACATTTATTGGCTTCCATATAATTTTCATAGGAAAGTCTCCTACTAATCTACAATATAATGGTAGAACATCGTCCTTAACTATATTGTGATGTAATTTTATCCTCAATCATTAATGTTACAATATTATTCAATAGTCAATATCCCGTATACAAAGAATGATAGGAGCTAAATGAATTTTATTAGTACAATATGAATTATTGAAAAGACATGATTGCATTGACATCATGACATGGACACATTAGGCTCATTTCTAAAATTAAATTATGAATATACTCGCATATATTACCATAATACATCATCGTTATTAAGAGTGAAGAATCAGCTCAAGTGGTTAGTGTTTCCCTTCCGATTTCAAGATATATTGGAATCAATTATCATCATCCGTCCTTGTAGTTCTCGAAATACCAAATAAAATAAAATAAAAACATCACTGCCATTACATTTGCATATTAAACAAATCGTTGAAAAAATACTAATCATATCATATAAATTACATAAATATCATTTGGTATGTTGCATCATATTCGGTAGCATATTAATTTGCTTTTCGCTTCATTCCTTAAAATAAAATTATCCTTTTTCGAAATGTGCCTTTAAATTTTGCCTAGTTTCCTTTTCCTTTGGTTAAAATTGTGTATGTCATAATTTTCATGTATACACTATATAACTTAAAGGAACAACAATAGTAAAAACCTAAGATTAGATAATCAAAGTTGTCAATATTTGAACCAACAATAGTAAAAACCTAACATAGAAAATGACTTTCATATTCTAATAACACCTAAATCCAACTTTTTAGTACCAAAAATTAACCAATTTTAGCAACTAGTACAACAATACCATCTACCAATTACCATCATCAACAACAAATTTTTTATCCAAAATATCCTAATATCTAAAATAACTACTTGTATGATTTTCCAACGTGGCCATCCATATTCCAAGTGACCAAGTTCAACATTGGTTCTTGTGGGTCCCATTTGATCACCATTATTCACAAAACAACATTCTCTCAATTTCAAAGGGTCTACCAACAACAAACTATTATCATTATCTTATTGTTCCTAAATGATAGTAATTAAAAGCTTTAATATCGTATTCTGTCTTAAACGATTACATCATTGTCTTTCGTGACTCTCGTTTATTGTCAAAATAAAAATAGAGGACACTAATAATAATTAAAAAAAGTTCTCAATTGCTGAAGTTGAAGTCTTGACCTTTCTATGCTTATTACATCCTTCCATTTTTGTCGACCTTTCCATTACCTCCTCCCCTCTT